AGGAAGCAAACAACAATAATATCAGGTGTGTCTACACACCACAAATAAAAGGAAACCATATAAGACAGCAAAGGACCCTTCTTCGATATAGCAGGCCTTCGGGCGGCTGAAAGAGGATCAAGTTTGGAATTTTTCTTGGACAACTGGCAATGGCAAGACAGCTGTGGTCACACGCGAATTTTTCTCACAATTTGATTATATTTGTTTACTTTTTGTTTTCATGAAATACAACAAATTTTTCTTTTTTTCCCCCCATCTCTAGATACTCATTGCAATTTTCTAGTTGCTTGTTCATTGCACAGTTGTATCGTTCAGCTAGACTAAGTAAACATAACATTTGACGATAATCATTTTTAATGTGTTATTGATCTCTCTAGCTGTCAACAATTTTCTATCTTATTGAAGATATATAGCCATTTCTATTCTCGTTTTGATTTGTCTCATTTCTTCCATAATCTGTTATTGCGTGTCCAAAATAGGCTAAACTTGTTACTTTTTCTAATATCTTTCGTTTTACGGCGATGTTAACCTTTAGTCGCTATTTTACACATAATTGACACTTTTCAATTGCTCTAAATATAATCAGAAGTTTAACAAATGATTCATGATTCTCGCCACGGTTATGTGATTATCTATAAAGATAGTTCTGTGTTGGTGCCGTTGAGTGGCTGACGACGTGTATGGTGGTTCTTAGCAGAACTGAATGGACATCACTTGGTGTAACAACGCTTGCACATGATACCTCTACGTCTAGTTTTAGAATGTAGGTGGAACAGTTAATGTTGCTCTTTGCTGGCTTGAGAACAAAATGTATCTACATGTCGTAACTGTAACTGATTGTCAGAGCATGTTGAGAGTTGCGTTAAGTTGAGTCAAGAATTGACATCACAGCACTCGGGGTATCCCCATGCGTGCTCCGTCCTCATCTTCGGCAGCCAGCGCTGAGTTCCAGTACTGATGGTACCGGTCACAATCTGGTTATATGTCAGTCTTGCCCTTTTAGTGAGCCGGCCAGACGCTCTGGTTACACCCAGGTGCCTCATTCTCTTTAGGCCATAATTATATTATTTATTTACTGATTTCGTTGCTTTTTCCTAAAGGGCCTTGACCACATCTGCCTTGGCATGTATCAGTTCACCACTCAGTTGTGCAGATCTAGCCAATCTGTCTGCCTGGCATGACCTGGAGAAAAGATCCAAAGTGTGCCCACAACCCGTGACTTTTCCAGTGAAGCTTACCACTCTGCTTGAAGCATTCCTGTCTTCACCTTTCTCAGCATGCTTTTAATGTCCGTTACAATTGCGCCAAATGTATTCATCTTGTTCTCTAGCCATCGGAGAGCTGCAGTTACCGCCTCCACCTCCATTCTCATGCTAGATGTTGTGGTGTTGTATGCTAGGCTGTCTTGCACTAAAGATCTCCAACTGGCTTTCGCTACGAACCCCAAGGCACTTCTCTTTCCTCTCAACACCAAAACATCTGTATAGATAATCCGATCACATGGGCGTGAATTGTCGTGAATCTTCTTCTTCTTCTTCGCGTTCACCAGCTGTACACTCTGGCGAAAGTTATGGTTGTTCGTCCACTTCTGGACTGCAGTCTTGCTCCAGAACCTAAGTGTTGCGTGTGCATCAGTTTTACAGATCTGATTCACTTGAATGCAGACTGTTGGTTCCTTGCCTCTCAGGCAGTTGCACTCCGACTTCAAAGGAAGCTCCCAATTAGTCGACTCCTATAACATGCTTTTGGGGAGGCAGTGGGTCTATTCGTGTTTTCCCCACAATGGGGCCCCGGAACCCATACTGGGAGTCGTGAATCAACTGTTGGACTTCTATCTCCGTAGCACCTGCTGGCCACCAGTCCCAATGTGATCATAACCCTACACATGTCAGACCCACTCCTCTACTCGCCCAGTGTTCTTCAGCATGCATACTTGTCTTATTGATGCATGTTGAGAAAGACGGAGATAGGCATACACCACGCTTAGCTTCAGAGGTCCCGGATAGTTAGCTCATTTTTGATATTTTTCTTTCTAGGTTATGCCAGTGGGTTAGGGGAACGAACAGGCAGGTGAAATGACTGATTCTGCACGACTTGGTGGTGACTGATGCATAACAAGCTAGACGTTATAGAGGTCCTTTGAGAGCGAATGAACAATGTGGAGGCACACATAGATCACGACGGTCCAAAGAGAACGGTGCTGCGAGGAGTGGCTGACGCTGAACACCGAAGAGAAAGAGGAGACTAATTAAGGATTAGATTGTTTCTGGTGCTATTATAGCTAAAACCACTTGCTGCTGAAAATGGGAGTGGCGCACCTATGGGAATGTCTTGCGTCCTGTAATGTCAATTCTTAATTCAGTATTCAACATTATATAACATAACCAGCTGCTATCTGTCTCTATATCGTTGGTTTCTATAACGTTTGGTAACGCTGAAATGAACTTTTGTGTTTTCTCTATCCTATTACAACCCTGGAGATAGGACAAATATGTATCAAACATGATAATACTACAAGTATAATGATAATCTCCTTGCATTAGAACCAGCATGGCTGACAAAGTTATATAAACAAAAACAGAAAGAGGTGGTGAAGGATAGGGTCCCTTACTTTTCATAGTTAAGGATCTAAGCTCCAAAGTGGGATAAAAAGAGGTTGGTAGTAGCAGTAGTAGTAGTAGTAGTTGTAGCAGCAGCAGCAGTAGTAGTAGTTATAGCAGCAGCAGCAGCAGCAACAGCAGTAGTAGTAGTAGTAGCAGTAGTATAAGAAAACAGCAAAACTACACGTCATTGAAAACCGGAAGTGTTCTTAATCTGGTTTTCTCCGAGAGAAGATCTCGTCCTCGAGGAAAGCGATCAAAGACCTGGAAGGTCAGCAAAATATCTAATTTATTTTGATTATTTAAGTGCCTAATTAGCCTAGTTTACACATTTGTAGGTAAAATTTTGCTTTCACTTGTCAAATAATATTTTCAGTTTTAACTAGATACCTTACTTAATCATTTAAAGTTTATAAGATAATCTCTGTACCCCATTTAACTCCACTTTTGCCTCTCCTCTATTTCAGAAATTTCTATTATTAATTCGCTACTGATGTAGTTAGTCAGTTTCAAGTTTGTCTTGACGCTCATGATTAATGACTTATGAAGGCGATTCTTTCGAAAAATTTAAATTAAAAGATAAAGTAGTGATTGCCACACACATTTCTTCCACGACTACTGTCTCATGCTGAGGTGTTCAAAACCAGAGAGAGCACAGAGAAAATTTGGAAGTGGAAATAACACTATACACTGACCTTTCGCTTTCAGGGACACCGATTGACTCAGACTGATGTTCTGGCTGTCCATCCATCCTTTAATGCTGTCCTCTCACCGTACTAACCAAATCACCCCTTGAGTTTTTTTGTCTTTAAAAATGCGTGAATAGCAAGCATAAAGGCATGAAAAGGTCGGCTCTCCTTTAAATTACGGCCGGTTAGTCGGTGTTCAGTCCCCTGGCTACAGTGCAATTACGGAGTGGAGAAGGCACGAATCACAAAACAAACCGACACTGGAGAGAATCATAACAGATCACGTCCTGCCGGGAACGACGATCGTGACTGACACTTGGCGAGGCTACAGCAACGTCGCAAACTCAAGGCATGGCATCTATCTGCACGAGGTTGTCGTCCAGCAGACCAATTTCGTTGACGTCGCGCACAGTGACATCCGCATGCAAATAATTGACGCTAACCCTAACCCAAACCCTAGCCGTATGATGACAGCAGGGCACTGCACGCTGTCTATCGCCAGCACACAGTAATTATGTCATTTGTTTCGTTTCCTCTTGTCCACTCCGTAATTGCACTGCAGCCAAGGGACTGAACTCCGACTAACCAGCCGAAGTTTAAAGGAGAGCCAATTCTTTACTGTATCTGCCAATTTCTGGTCAAATATGGCAGAAAGGCAAATTTTTGTTTTAGCTGGGGTTTGCTGAAACCCTTTTTTGTCCGAGTGGACTGGAAATCCAAAAGTAAAATTGCCAAGCTACTGAGCTGAGAGCTTGATGTGACACTGTCAGTCATGGATTACTTGTAGACTGTTGTTTTCTATTTGCACTGTGACCGCACCAAAAAATAGGTGGCCAGTAGATAAAATGTGGAGTGGCATGTAATTATGCCATATTTCAGTATTGCAGATGCAATGCTAGCAACGGGATTGATTGCATCAACAGTTACCTGCAGTTCTGGTGGGTGACTGTTTTCACATCTGACTTATGCATTTACTTTGCATGTGCAAGCTTCAAGGTGTCTCTGGGACTCAAATGTTTCTTTCACTAGTTTTTTTTCAAATGGGACAGTAGACATTTTGTGTGATTTCTACTAGCACAGGAGCGGAGCAGTTTTGGGGTGACCATCTGCAGTGAAATAACCTTGATTAACTAAACTGAGGTGACCTCTAAATGGGGTAGGCCTTGATGTATACTAACCATTACAAGAAAAAAAAAAGTATAGCCGGCTTTTTAGGCAAATAATGCCAAACTCTTGTTATAGACAAACTGGCACTCAGTGGGTGATGGTGTCACTCTGACACTTGGCCCCTTTACTTGGGTCAGGTTGTGAGCCAGTGTCAGTTTTGAAAAACCACTATAATTTAGATTTGAACCCGAAGCTTGCAGAAGAGCATCTAGCTACTACGGCTTCTGATACTGACCAGTTTGGCTTATCAGACCTGACTTTTTCTTTGTCTTCTTCTGCATTCACCTTTAAAAGAAAATTTGGCATGTTTTGTTGTGGTTTAACAGTTAGTCTGTGGTTTGTGTGTGTACATGCGCACGCGCACCTTTCACCCCAGTCCACTTTCAACTAAACCCGAATTATTAGCTTGTTACGGCATGCTTGTTATGAAGCAGAGGGTCAACCCTCCCCAGATCACAAGCTGTGGGTAAGCATGATCGCCCAAGCCAGTCAGCATAGTGCTTGAAGATAATTATGTCTCAGTTTTGTTCCTTGTTTCAGAAAAATGCTGCGCCAAAGTCTGAAAAAGCTTGTCCCTCTGGGTAACGCCATTGTTTCTCAAAGCCAGAGAAATATTGGAGCTTCTGCTGCTCTTACACAGAAGGGCAGTCTAGACCCAATCCAGCAGTTATTTGTTGACAAGATTAGGGAATATCGGACCAGGTAAGTGCACACTGTACTTCTTATTTTTTTATCTTACAGATACCATATTGTGGTTGTCTGTATTTGTATTGTGCTTCTCAGGGAGCTTGGATCATTGATGTGTTCTCCTTTTTGTAGATTTCAGCTACACTATCTTATCCAAATCCTTTTTTGAGTGTTTTCTTCGCTTTTCTTCTGTATGTTCTGTTTAAACAAAATCTGTACGGTTTGGTCTGGCCACATCTATCTATCTATCTATCTATCTATCTATCTATCTATCTATCTATCTATCTATCTATCTATCTATCTATCTATCTATCTATCTATCTATCTGTCTGTCTGTCTGTCTGTCTGTCTGTCTGTCTGTCTGTCTATCAGCATGCCTGTCTGCCGGCCTGCCTGCCGGTCTGTTGGTATTTGTTCGTTAGCACAGGCACCACTTTTATTCCATGAGATGCACCAATGTCATCCCCACGACCCAACCCGGGTCACGCCTTATTGGCCAACCCCTCCCTTCCTCTTTAGACACTCAGTGTACGCTGTTTGTGGGCGTCTACTCCGTCCATTTCCTATTTATAGGGTACCCGTTCTTTGCTCCCCGTCCGTGCGTTGGTGATAAATTCACCAGTACCTGTCCTTGACATCCTTTTGAAGGAAGTTTTTCGTCAGGAACACAGATGAGTATCATTTATTGTGTAGATTAGTCCCATGTAGTCACTTCATAGTTAGAGTATATTTGTGTATGTGTACTGTATTGTTCTTTATGATGAAGGCTAATTGCCGCAACATCCTTTGTTTATTGTGATCGATTTTGTAAAGCTAACATAAACTGTTTGTTGTTTCTTACAAACTTTTTCTCTTCCCTATAATTTTCTACTCCTTTTAAAAACTCACTACATGGCAGAACCATTTCATTCTCTGTCTGTCTGTCTGTCATATAATTCAGACATTGTGTTATTCCAACTTTCTGATGCTGGTATTCCTAATCATGACCTTTCTTGTGTTGTTAGAGACAGTGCATTTCACAGATGTACACTGACCATTGTCTGCTGCTGGGGCCCATTAGCGAAGCAAAGAATTTTGTACACTGTAACATACCATGCTTGTTATAAGATGTATCTCAGGAGGGTTGGCATGAGACTGGTTATCTCATCTTCTTTGGCTTCTTCTTCTTGTCTCCCAGTGGAGCATATATGGCATGGGTGAATACTGAACATTAGTGCATCAACATTGGACTCATGGATAAATTGTCTTCAGCATGCAGGAGTGCAAAGTAATGAAAATTACAGCGGTGGCAAAACTCCTTTTGGACAAGGCAACTATTCTGAAGATCATTTATTAACAAATACTGATGGAATATATGATGTTAGATAAAACACAATGTAGGCATTATTATGGAATCAAGTGTTGATACACCAAGAAAGGACGTATGAAAGAAACACATTATGATATGTATACAGCCAGTGTGCTGCTTGAACAGACATTTGCTGTGGGAGCCCTATTTGCTGTGTAGTTTCCTAATCAGATAATTAGGCCCCAGGCTTTTTTTCATACAATTTTTTAAAGTTTACAATTTTTATTCATTGCTCTTATTACAGTACACAACCCTATGATGCTACTGACAATATGCAATGACAACAGTTTCTTGGTACATTTATTTGCATAGACTTTATGTTATGATTCTTGCTGCAAACATGGTGATTTTTGCTGTGATCTTGTTAAAGGTTTAAAGGTTATTATTCTTTCTGCCATCATGCTGTTGACATGAAAGTTCTGCCCAATGTCATCATTTTACAGCCGTGAATGTTATGATCCTTACTGCCATCATGCTGTTGACATGAAAGTTCTGCCCAATGTCATCATTTTACAGCCGTGAATGTTATGATCCTTACTGCCATCATGCTGTTGACACGAAAGTTCTGCCCAATGTCATCATTTTATAGCCGTGAATGTTATGATCCTTACTGCAGTCATGCTGTTGACACGAAAGTTCTGCCCAATGTCATCATTTTATAGCCGTGAATGTTATGATCCTTACTGCAGTCATGCTGTTGACACGAAAGTTCTGCCCAATGTCATCATTTTACAGCCGTGAATGTTATGATCCTTACTGCAATCATGCTGTTGACACGAAAGTTCTGCCCAATGTCATCATTTTACAGCCGTGAATGTTATGATCCTTACTGCAATCATGCTGTTGGCATGAAAGTTATTCCTGCTGCCATTATCTTGCAGCCAAAAAAAGTTATGATTCTTACTGCAATCATGCTGTCAACATGAAAGTTATTATTCTTGCTGACATGAAACTTATTATTCTTGCTACAGGTCTGCAGGAGGCAAGCTTGTTGATGCTTCTCCAGAGACCGAGGGGAAACTGAATGAACTTCTTGGCAACCTGGAGCGGGCGTTCGGGGCACGAGGAGTTGACATGACTCAGTTTCCAACATTTAACTTTGCAGGTGAGAGAACAATATCAGTTTACTTGTAATATTATCTTCTCCTTTGTTCACTGGCTGTAAGCTGCGGCGGAAAGTCCTGGTTCTGAACCAATTTGGACGTTGGCTTTACTGCCAGGGCCTGAGTTTTGTGCGTACATCCATTTTACTGGCTTGTTTGTTGTTCCTTGTCGCTCAGGCGGATGTACTCCAAGTTCGAAGGCCCCCCCCCCCCCCCCCCCCCCCCCCCCCATTAGTCGACTCCTATAACATGCTTGTTGGGGAGGCAGTGGGTCTATTCTTGTTTTTCCCCTCAATGGAGCCCCAGAACTCACACAGGGAATTTGTAATTTGAAACAGGAAGTGTGGTAATAAGGTGCCCACATTCTCTGTCGAACCAGAATATTTTCATGAGCATGTGGCTCTAGAGCTGACCCCCCTCTCCTATCCCTATAATTCCATAGTTATTTTATGCTACGTTATGAGAAGAAAATGGAATGTTCTGTGACAGCCTAAAGCATTTGTGAAACGAGAGGAAGACAGCATGAGAATATTCTTAAGCTTTTGTTATGACATATAGAAGGGTTCTTAGCACACAAGCTGATATATGCTGTTCCCTGTGTGGATTCTGGGGCTCTGTTTTGGAGAACAAAGAATAGATCCCCTGGCCTCTATCAAGCATTTTTTAGGAGGCGGCTAATTAGGGTGTTTTGTTTTAAGTCGGAATGCACCGACTGTCTGAGAGACAAAGAACCAACAATCTGCACACAAATAAGCCGTTTCTATAAAATAATGGAGCACACAAAACTCAAGTTCTGGAACAAGACCAAAGTGCAGGAGTGCACAAACAACCAGAACTGTTCACTGGAGCTTACAGCGGGTGAACAAAAAGAAGAATAATATACATTCTGTTTCAGATTGTAAGTTATAAAGAGGCATGATTGTCCATGGCAGTCAGCATGGCACTTGATAATGATAGTTTCAATCGAGTTACCAAGTAATTATTGGCTGTTTTATCAGGTCTTGCTGAGGGATACTGGACTTCATAGTTTCATATTTGAGGACTGTCCATTTACCAGGTTTTTCTTGGCCTTTGTCTACTCTTTATAGTAGGGAACTATGTAATATTGGCTGTAAGTTCTGATTACAGATATATCCCACTGTACTCAGTATTTTGTAACTACAGTGGTTTCCGTGGTCTTGCAGATTTTATATACAGATCTTTCTTGGCCTGGCTGTACTCTTCTTTCTGTGTACAGAGCCTTGCAGTATAGTTGTGGCTGATAGATCTTATTACATGTGTGTACCATTTTACTTTTTTTCATCACTATTTTGTAACTGTAGTGGTTTAAGGGGTCTTCATGGTAAAGTGGTCAAGCTATTGGCCTCCCGCTATGAACTTTGTGGGGTTCATTTCATGGCTGTTTTGTTCGTCACAGATTTCATGGAGTTGATACTTTTGGTGATGTTCTCGGCAGGTGGCACTCTGTTCCACCGAGCGAGATATCCAGGCCCAGGGGACACAACTCAGCACAATGAAAGTGATCTTCTCTATTTTAACTCCACAGTGATCATACCAGGTTTTGAATCTGCCACCTCCAAATTTGACAGTCTTGCTATAGATAACGTGTGCTTTTGATGAGTGGCCATTTAGACTTCCTTATATATTACTTGTTTATAGACCCTTATATACATTACTTTTCCTGTGTGGTATTACAGCCAGTGATTGTAAAGAGGAGACATTACTTAAGACTCACACATAATGCCTATTTATTTCCATGGACAGAACCTCAGTTGGTCTGGCCAGGCCTCACCCAGGACCAGATCAACAAAGTGAAGGAAACAATAGAGGCTGAAGCGGAGAAAGAGAGATTGCTGGCGGCAGAGAAAGCAGAGGAGGTCAAACCTGAATATTTTGATGGTTAAAACTGCATCATGTGCTTGAACTTTTTTTTTTCTCAACACTTAATTAGCTTACTTTGGTTCTCTTGTGAGTGTGGTTCCACTTCCCTGTCTGGATGTCTGATTCATGGAAAATATATTTGATTAATCCAGACGGACTGACATTTAAACAGTTTGAAAGACAAGAGTTCTAGGGTTGTTGTTTGTGAGTATTTAATCAGCGCAGATAAGCTAAGATTTGAAGATGTCAGCTTTTAGAATTCAAATACAGTAATGGAAAACTTTACTAATGTGGTTGCTGTGTTTCATTTATGTATGTCTGTTCATTAAAAGTGACAGTACTAGTAAATGCAATTATTACTAAAAGATGACATTTTGAAGTTGGATGATTACTTTTCTTCATCCATGTTTTAGTCAGAAAAACGGCAAAATCTGGTAATAGCTTACCCCAGTGTGGGGTGCCTGGCACCGTAAGGGGAGCTGGTGTAGTTTTTGGTGTTTACCAGCAGTAAATCTCTGGAGGAAAGTTTTGGTTGTTTGTCCACTGTAGTCTTGTTGCAGGACTTGAGCTCTCTTAAAATGTGAATGCGGAAGACGGTACTAGATTGAATCAATGCCACAGCAGAATTTAGTTGGCAGAAATGTTCCTGCTACTTAGCTCATAAGTAACGAGTCCAATCATAGCAGTTTAAAAAAAAAAAAAAAATCTGTGGCTCGAAATAATATCAGCATGTAGTTATTTGTGTTCAACGGCAGTTAAAACTCCGGTGGAAAGTTTGTTGTTTGTCCACATTAGTTTTGTTGCGGGACTTGAGTTTTGCATGCACATCCATTTTACAGAGCATGCAGACCGTTAATTCCTCGCCTCTCAAGCAAACGCATTCCACCGCAACACATTACCCATTGGTAAATTCTCTTCCAACTACACAGGAGAGATCCTAGCACTAGATCAGGCAGCTGTAATGTTACACAAAACACCAGTTCTGACTGCCACCAAGTGGTCATCTTCACAGATGGGCTGTTAAAGCTTCAAGCTCTCAAGAGTGGTAAACTCCCTCACCTGAGATCATCTTCTTCTTCTTTCGTTCGCCTGAAATAAGTTGTCTATATCAGCAGTTTTGTCTCTTGTATAAATTTCACTGTCATTGTTAGTTCATTCAGTGGTTCATAGAGTTTACGTTCCACTGTTGTTTTTTCTGACCAAAAGGTTTGCCTTAATGTGTCAAAATCGGTGCAGTCCTGGAGTACATGCTCTGCTGTCTGGGGCACATTTCCACAGGTGCACAAGGCTGATACACCTATCTTGAATTTTGTGTACATGTGGTTACGTAATCGGTTGTGTCCTGTTCTGAGGCGGAGGATAATGACTTGTTCTGGTCTGTCCATAATAAAATAGTCGTCTTGTGCTGAGGCTGGTGGTTTCCTGATCGATTTAATTATTCTTTTCTTTTGTTTGGTGGTATGTGACTGGTACATCCGGCTGCTCTTTTGTCGCACCTTCCCCTGCCAGTTGATCAGCTTTCTCATTTCCAGGCACTCCACAATGAGATCTTAATCTGGCAAGGTCATCATCATCATGTGCCCTGTCGACTGGTGTAGGTGTTCATGCATCTCCACAGATCTGTCCCTGTTCTGTGATATCCCTCCATCATCGCAGTCCATCCTTCATTATCTCTCTTGGTCTACCTCTCCCTCTTCTACTGTTGATCTTCCCAGTCATTACAACATTCTCTAAAGCCTCCTCTCACATCACATGACAAAAGAACAGTGCTGGTCTTTTCCAGCTGTACATAATGATCTGCTTTCATTAGCTTCCATCAAGCAATCCTCGTTAGTTTCTCTGGCAGTCCAAGGGATTCTTAACATACATCTGAAAAACCACATCTCTGTCGCCTCCATGGTCTTTCTAATTTGTTCATTCACATCCCATGATTCACTACTATACAGAGAATAGTGCAAGACAGCTACCCAAAAAGTGCATTGTATGTATACCAGAAATGAAACTATGGATAAACCTTTTAAGGGGCAGAATGTGAACAAAAAGAGACTGCAGTAACATAAGAAGAAAAGAGCCATCTAATCTATCGGAAATGAACAGTCTGACCAGAGATGACTACCACTTACTTGACCCGCATGGGCAGAAACGACATAAGCATATGCACAGGCTTCGTCTAATTAGTTCACCACTGTGGGCTGTGTGTGCAGACTAAAGAACATGTCCCGCAAGAATGTCCATGAACAGCATAAGAAGAAGGAAATACTGGCCCAGTTAGTCAATACAGCACTCAGTCGTATGGAACTAAAAGGGAACTCCTAAAAACAGTCAGGTTTATCACAAGAACTTGTCTGTCGATGTAAATAATGAAGCGAAGGCAAATGCATTCCGACTTCAAGGGAAAACCCCTATAATTGCCTTTTACAACATGCTGGTTAGGAAGACAGTGGGTATATAAACATCCTCCCCCTCCCCCACATGAGGCCCAGGAACACAAGCATGTAGTAAAAGGTGACTAATTCAGGAGCGGCTGCCACATGAAATGCTGGAGTCCCAGGTTCGAATAACTAAGTTAAGGGTTTTTTCTGGTGCAGCAATAATAAAATCTTGTAGTCCATAGTGATTGCATTTGCCTGGTGGCCCTAAATTCCCGGACTTCAAACCCCCCCCCCCCCCCCCCCCCCCCCCACCCCCCCCCCCCCCCCCCCCCCCACCAGTCACAAATGTGGTTAAAACAGGCAGTAATGACAATAAAAATTTTTTTTTTTTTAATGAATGGTTGCTTAAATCAGATGTTTTAGGCCAAAAGGCAGATACTGCAGCCTAACTGTACACCACAGTAGAATGTGCCAACTGCTCTTTTTAGATGTGAATGCAGAAGACACTACTAGACTAATGAATCAATGCTGCAGCAGATTTGAAACTATCTCTTCTGCAGTTGGCAGAAATTTCTGCTACTGACTCAAAAGTAAAGGGTCCAATCATCTAGTAGTATTTTTTTTTTTTCTAAAACAAGCCCCTGTGCTTTCAAATGATATCACATGCCGCTCTGATATACTGGGTAGTGTCCTGAGATATATAAAACCTTCTCAGGTAACTGAAAAACACAGGAAAGCACATGGAGAATCCCACTGCAATTTGAAATTTCAAAATGTAGGCCACCAGACATCTGTTCTGGCATAATGGTTAGGAAAGCCAAACTGGCTCAATAGTTGGCAGATGGTTACTTTGGGTGGAATCTGTCTACAGACATGAACTTCTGAGATGCATAAACTCAAGTGTGATGTGCTTCGCTTCAAAGAATGAGAAGGAAGATATGCTGGTTTTCTCTAGTCCTGTTCTATATTTCAGTGCCAGGTTTTGAAGGGGCATTGGGTGTGAGCCTTGATTGTGTGCCTCACAGAGGCTGGTATGTACAGCCTCAGGTAATCCATTAGGCCATCGTGTGCGTGGTCAACCTCTATCTTCGCTTCCATTATGTCTAAGTGGCAGAGCTCTCTGTAGTGTACTATCTAATGGTAGTATTGTCACATGTTAGAACTGTATGATCTATTTTCATACTAGCTAGCCATGCCCAAGCTGTATGATGTTGGTAGTCCTCTCTCTCTGTGTAGCTTTCACCATCATCATGTAGCAGGTCCTTTGCAGAACGTCGCTCTCATCACAGACTGCCTGAAACTCGGTCTCTCGCCAGTTCTCCCGCCTCGGGTACTTTCATACCCAAGGAGTCACTTATATCCTGTTCCCATCTTCGTGTCGATCCTTCCTGGTACCATGCCTTCTGCTATAATTTTTTTCGATCCGTCGTGGCACTTGATATGACCAAAATATTTCAGCTTCCAAGACAGGATACTGTTTATTAGCCAATCTTTCAAGATTCTCCTCTTCTTTGTCTAAGATATTCTGAGAATCTTTCTATAGCATTTCAGCTCAAAAGCCCCTATTCTCTTTCTTAAGGACTGAGAGATAGTCCACGACTCACATCCGTATGTAGCCACAGGAAAGATGCATGCCCTCAAAATTCTAATTTTGCCTGCTGGTGCTTAACCATAGACTTTTAAGGCTGTTCAATCTATGTAACTTTACCTTATGTATTTACAATGTTCTGATACAAATGATCTTCTGTCTTCCTGTGCAGTTTTTCCTCTCTAACTTTATTCCAGTTTTCTGAGCAAGTATACGGTCATTAAGTATCTATACACCCTAAAGAGGAAGAATATATCTTATTTTCTCCTGCCGCTTTTCCCCTCCAACTTTCTCACCATTATGATGTATTGCAATTTTCTCCTCCTCATGACACAAAGATTGCATATGGTCTAAAAATGTTAATTAATTACCAAAACTCCAGGATACAAGTGTACACATTTTTAAGGTTCTATTTCATGCGAGAATAAACAAACAATAGGTAGAGCATGTCTTGTTTGTGAGCCAGATGTTTTATCACCACCAAGGCTGGATGCCCTCGTACTGAGAGCCACGCTGAAGAAATATAATGAACACAGAGCAAAGGATTGACCACGAAAGATATGGAGCGGCACCATCAGGAGCAACCTAACAGAAATAAACACAAACTTGTACAATGCATTGGAAAAGCGCACAAACGATCCTTACATTCCCCCCCCCCCCCCTTCCCAACACCTCGCTGAGGTAAAGGTAGAAGAGGAGGAGGTTGGATTTTGTTTTTAATATTTTCCAAAGTAAAGGAAGATGTCTAATACCGACCATACTAGTGCCAGCTAATTTATAACTATTTGGAAAATTATGCTTAAGTTATGGAAGAGGGTCTTTTTTTTGTCCTTTACATGAAGTAAACTTTTGGGTTGGGGAGACAGGTTAGAATCACCAATTTCAAAACGATACATCACTAAACACAGGCACACAAATAAAGCATGACCTACACTGTAAAACAGACCAGGCAACACAAGTGTATGGAACCAATTAGTCAACCAAACAAAATTTATTTTCCAAAACTGCAAACATTCAACTGTCTTCATCTTGTATCCAACAGTAATACAAAAATAAAATATATCACCACAGTGAAACTTCTCTTCAGTCCAAATACACAGCAGATGAAAATATGAAGATTGTGTATACAAGATAATAATTTATAACAATATTTCAAGGTAACGACTGATAATTCATGACAATAATCAAGAAAATGGCTACTGAACATTCTCAAACACAGTTATGCTGTTTGCCTAAAGATGCCTCACCACTCCCTTATGCCTTCTGAAATTCACTCCACTCCTCCTATACACCTAGTAAAGTAACTCCACTACTTTCTGTATGCCTACTGTCACTCCACTCTGTATGCACTCTGAAGTAACTCCACTCCTCCTATACACCTAGTAAAGTAACTCCACTCCTCCTATACACCTAGTAAAGTAATTCCTGTACACCTAGTAAAGTAACTCCTATACTAGTAAAGTAACTCCTATACACCTGGTAAAGTAACTCCACTCTTCCTAAACACCTAGTAAAGTAACTCCTATACACCTAGTAAAGTAACTTCACTCCTCCTATACACCTAGTAAAGTAACTCCTATACACCTAGTAAAGTAACTCCTATACACCTAGTAAAGTAACTCCTATACACCTAGTAAAGTAACTCCACTCCTCCTATACACCTAGTAAAGTAACACACCTAGTAAAGTAACTCCACTACTATCTGTATGCCTACTGTCACTCCACTCTGTATGTACTCTGAAGTAACCCCACTTCTCTCATCACTGTATGCATACTGAGATCACTATTTCTCTTTGTTTACACTATAAAGTACTAAGCCAACAGTCTAGAGGAGGAGACCCTAAAGGTAATATGTGGAGATCCCAGAGCAGTCCATTCGCTACTTTAACTGTGATGAGATCTCATCAATGCAAGTGGTCCTTTACAAACTTCAACTACAATCCTTTAATAATCTTTCATATTCAATCAAATTAATCTGTCCACAAAAGTGACATATTTGAAATGTAAATATGACTGATAAAATGATAACTTTAGAATTGTGGCGAACAAAATGACATATTAAACTTAAACAATATGATAAAGTGACTTACAACAGTGGGAAAAAAAAAAACCTTGGACTACTAAATACTAAGCACAGATACATGTAACATCCAATTTGTCAAACTAAATAATGCTCAGTCAAAAATGTCAAGATCTGTTCATACAAGCAGGAAAACAATTCCATCCATTCATACAGCTTCTGGCACTCCCGGACAAAGAGATGATTACACCAAGCCATTTAAGCATGTCAGAAAACAAATGTACAATGAAAGAATGGCTGGTCCGACAAGTGAAGTCTTACAGGCTGTAATTTCTTGGTTTTCTATCAACATCAATGTGATCTTCACAACAGAGCGCAGTCAATAGGAGGGTCGCTTTCAAACCCAGCTGCGACTCACTGCAGCCCACGACCAGTGTTGGAAACCGGGCGGTTCCTGGGGTTCACCCAGCCTCTATCTAATGGGTACCAGAGTTAACACTCTAGGTAAATGGAGGAGCGTCACTGAAGCTATGGAATTTTGACACGGGCGGTCAGTTTCTTATCAGCTGTCCGTACTGGTGGCAGAGCACTTATTGTTTAAAACTGTGTGCAATGACGCTGGTTTACATCTCCCCACTTTACCTTCCTCCTAAACAACCTAAAAGTTTTAAGAATAAAGGGAAGGAGTTTAGGATCTTTTTGTTTTGTTTCAGCTGACAAACTTAATTTAAACTTTGCAGTTACATGTGTGGCCCTTCCTTCCTGTCCCTCCTCCTTAAGCTCTAGTCAGTCTGTGTTCAGTGAATGTTTTCTGTAATGTGGTCAACTTTCTGTTGAGTTCAAGTGTTAACTATCGCATTTTAATCAAAAGTTTGGTATTTACCTATCAAATGTTGAGAGCCGATCGCCCAGAAAGCAATGGCAAACTAGTGAACGTAATTTTGCTTAGAAAAACCACAACAGAAAAAAAACGCTGGGGTTGGTTCTGCAACGTCATGTAAAGGAAGCGCAACTAACATTTAAACAGTGTTACATTGTCATGATTATTATGTTTACATATCAACTATAATATATTTGCAGTACCCATTTTAGACTGTTATCCTGATGCCATTACTCTTGTTAACCTGCAGATTCTGAAAATGTTATCTGTAGACTAACGATTAAAGTGTTACTTTTACATTATTTTAACTGCAGATCTTCTTCGCTTTCACCAGCTGTATTTCTTTTTCTGCGTTCAACACCAGTTATGATAAACATTTAGTCCCATTTAGGATTGTGCGTTTTAGGTCGCCACCAGTCTCCCATAGCTTCTCTTGCAATGTAGCTCCCTTGGGCCAGATACAGTCTTTGCTGGGAGAAGTTAGGGCGGTGCTGCAGTATGTGCTCAGGGGTCTGTTTTTCTGCTCCACAATCACAGGCAGCAGATTCTTTTATGCCTATTCTGTGCAGGTGTGCTCGAAGACCACAGTGTCCTGTCCAAAGTCTAAAAATTGATGTTTGTTTTTTCCTGTTGAGTTTGTTTATGGTTTACCAGCTGTAAACTCTGGCCGAAAGTTCTGGTTTTGGACTGCAGTCCTGTTCCAGAACCTGAGTGTTGCATGTGCATCCGTTATACAGATTTGACTCATATGTATGCAGACTGCTGGTTCCTTGCCTCTCAGTCAGATGCAATGCGGATCAAATTTTACACTGCATTACACAGATACCAGTCTTGTTTAACTATCAACGTAACACTGGTTTTTCCCCTGCATCTGTTACTGTTACATTAGTTCATCTGTATATTGTTAATGCTACCATGACATTTCACCCGTAAATTGTTACTGCTATATTATTTCACCTGTATACATTGGGTTACAAAACTCTGCCACTACTGCATTCTGTTTCACACGTCACTTTTAACGCAGCAAATCTACATCTAGTCACCCAAACACTGTGCGTCACATTTACTGTACTATATGCTCACTCAACTTCAACAACACCATGACATCTTTTCACATATTCATCCAAGTTACATACATCTGTACATTTCTATTACCACTACTTCACACCCCCTCCCCCAAGACATTAATGCCCTTTATTTCTCAACTGCCAAGAAATAATATACCTGTGAAGAAATTTAGAACAGGTCTGCTTAAATCTGTTTCTACAACCTGATATTTTTCTGCTGTCTAGTCTACTTACAAGATATTTTCTAGACATTGTCTAGTCTATGTATAGAAAGTAATCTACTTACTATGATGGGTTCTGCGGTTTCCCGACCACAAATATATAACCAAATATTTCTCTGACACAAAACTGAGGAGGTTACAGTGTTGGATATCCATCCCTTCAATAAGCATTGTCAATGTGAAATCTTATGTGCTAGGTTTGTAATATTTCCTGCTCCTATGCTGTTAGTTAGTTGTGTATTCTTTATAGGACACTGCAGAACCAACCCAAGCATTGTGTGGCTGTTTTGGTTTTTCTAGGCACATTTACATCCAGTAGTTTGTCACTGCTTTCTAGATTGGTCAGCATCTCGATACCGCTGTCGAAACCCAAGCAAGGCGCAAGGCCTGCAGCTGGGATCAAACCTGGCACCCCAGCATTACAAAGCTCGTTCGCAATACCTAAGCCACAGACACTGACTGTGCTCCTAGGTTGTACAGCAGGGTTATTCAACTAAGTTTACCCAGGAGCCAAAATGTGGGGGGAATGGGAATCGTCACAAGCCAGAGACCCGGCCCCAGCATAGAAAGATCATTAATACAACTGGCAATGATCCGTGTGCCACCTGGCAGGCCTCAGCGGGCCAGATTCGACTCATGGGCCGCCAGTTAAATAGCTCTGCTGTACAGAGACCAAAAACCCTGTCTCACATTCAAACAGATCAGCACCCTACCCATTTCACATGTTATTATGGCAGACTTTAAAACAGAGGATCAAACACCAGAACACTGTCACCAACCTCTATGGGTGATAAAGTCAACATGAAAAGGCCAGCTTTACTTCCCTAGACATATTTTCTGGCACCCAGATCAGCATCCTACCCACTTCATGTGCAGGTAATTATGGCAGGACTTTACAACAGAGGACTAAAAGAAATAGGCGCCAACCTCAGTTTTGTGTGGGAATTTTTAAACCAGGGCTAATAATTCAATTATGGGCAACAAATCCCACCTGTTGATTTAGTTTCTGGATATATAAGAAATGTCCCAATACACTAATAATCAAATACCATATCGTAAACAGGCAGCACATTACAGCGACATAATCTGAACTTTCAGTGCATCGTAAACAACGTCAGAAGGAAAATACAAACCAAAATGAAGCAACTCTAAACCAACATTTGTTATAATTCAACATGTTTGTCCTCTGTGTCCGATCCATCTGGTAATGAAGAAAAAAACAACACAGGAATAAGTACTGTTTAAAATGTAGTAGAAGTTATGATGGTAAGGAAATGAGGAACAAGCAGAGATATTTAAAATAAAATAGTTATTGAAAAAAAAAAATTTAAAAAGGATTTAATGAAAAAGGAACAAATGATCGTAAAATAAAGAGAAACTTGTGATGCTGTTTAATAAAAGTAACAAATGATGTTAAAAAAAAAAAAAAAAACATTTCCTTGGTCTGCTGGTTACAGCCAGTCCACCATGAATGTAAGCCACTCTCTCAAGCTGGTATTGTAAGTGGCAGCCAGTTTAAGCCACAGATGAAGTCAGTCCATCAAAGGTTTCAACCACAGACCCAGCCAGTCCAGCATATGTTTTAGCTACATTTCAATCAGTCTGTCAAATGTTTTAGCCAGTCTCATGCTAGTACTGTTAGCTGCAGCCAGTCAACAGAAGGGGTTTAGCCGGTTTCAGCCTGTGATAACTGTTTACAGCAAAATCAACCTGTGATTACTGGTTACAGCAAAGTCAACCTGTGATTACTGTTTACAGCAAAGTCAACCTGTGATTACTGTTTACAGCAAAGTCAACCTATGATTACTGTTTACAGCAAAGTCAACCTGTGATGACTGGTTACAGTCAAGTCAACCTAGTTCATAGCCAGTCTCCTCTTTGACACTACAGAGGTTTAAGCCAGATGCCACACAGTGTTATTACCAATTGGCAACCCGTTATACTGTACTATAAGGAGGTATGGAAAGCACAACCCATAGCAATGGTGAGTGTGACTAGCAAGGCCCGCTCACGTAAAGGTAAGTCTTCCACAATTAAAGCACCGACCACTGTTGCCATTTATTTCTTCTTCAGCGATCTCTGGTCATGCACTTAATCCGCTGTGGGTCATAAACTGGGATGTCATCTCAAGATCTTTTAGGTTTCCCCAAAGCTTAGTTGTCAGGTCTACTGGGTGTGTCCACATTTTGCTTCGCAGCTCTACCATGTTTTAGAGTCTGTTCAGTGCGAAGACACTGGCAGACAGCTGTTTGGCTGGTACCTAATTTATATGAGTGTTTGTTGAATCTGCAGTGTCCAGTGTGTTAGCGAAGAACCGCGACTTGGTCTGCGTTCTTCAGATGTTTGAGGAAATCCTGTTCAATTGTTATAACCTGTGTTAGTTTTCCAATCTGTTTCTCTTAATGAGGGTTTTGACTTCTGGAAACTATAGTGGCTGGCAGATTGTTGGTTTCCTGCTGCCTCCCTTGGCTAAAGCATCAGCACTTTCATTGCCTTTAATGTCACAGTGAGATGGAATCCACTGCAGGGTTTTGCAGCTTGTTCATATACAGTGCTGCAATCAGTAGGGCTGAGAGATCTGACTTGTGGTTAGAGCAAGTTTGACCAGTGGGGGATGCCATGTAAACACGTGCTCTACCATTCTTTGGTGCATTCTTTGCTGATCCATCTGTGTAGATCATGTTCCTATCAGTCTACCCTAATACCTACCTGTAACACTCATGTCCCACTTGCACACACATTTATATGATAGCAGAGGGTGACCTCAACATCTACTTATAACTTTACATTGTTCCAAATGAATGAACATTCTTGGTAGCGTGGTACAAAAAAAAGAAGAAATAAAATTAAACACACACAGCTTTCAAGACATTCAATAAGAAAAACAAATCCTTACCTAATTCTAAAATCTCCTCTTCCTCTTTCGGAGATCCCTCAGTCTTCCTCTTTGACTTGGGCTTTTTCTTGTCTGAGGTAGTTTTGTCCTTAGACTTTTTATCTGCCTTCGTATCTTTCTCCTCTTTCTTTTCTGACTTTTTATTCTTTTCCTTCTCTTTCTTCACTGGTTTTGTTTCTGCTTCCTTCGCTGCTTTACCAGAGTCGTCACCATTCTCTTCAACTTCAACTGTACCATCATCATCCTCTGTAGGGAAGTAATGAGAAAAACAATTGATATAGGAGCATATAGAAACTCTAAATGGTTGTAACCCTTTAGCTCTGAGACACTAATGTTTAGTCTTTATATTTTAATCAGGCTTTGGCCAGTTAGTCTCTTCTACGCAGGGGAAGGTACTAGTCATCATATAATTTTTGTTTAGGACCAAGGGCAGGTATAGCAATTAGTTTGCAAATATCCCCCCCCCCCCATGTTTTTTTAAAATATTTTTAAGGCATATACTTTTTTAAATAAATAAAATTGTGTGTGTGTGTGGGGGGGGGGGGGGGGGAATTTTCCTGGGTTCAAGATATTTTCTCTCTGGGGCAAAACAGTTACAGTACTGAAAGCTGTTCAGTTTGTGTTACGTGAGGTCATAATCGATGTGCCAAAGTAATTTTAACACATTCAGTTATGAACAAGATGGAAGGATAACATCAGAGAAACTCTACAACAGCACGATGTGCCTATGGTCGAGGCAGCCAGAAGAGCTAGAAATAGAACCTTATATCTCCCTCGACACCCACAGCGGTAAAAGAGGAAGTGAAGAAGAAGAAGAAGTGTGTACCAAGATATTTATTGACATCTGTGTGCCAAGGTATTTGTTAACATCATCTTTGTATACCAAGTTATCGGTTAACACAACCAGTGCCCCCAGGGTTTTTTGTTAACATAACCTCTAGGTACCAGGTTATCCATTAACACAACCAGTGTGTACCAAGGTTCAAACAATCTCCTGTGCCCCAAGTCATTTGTTAACATAACCAGTGCACCATAACTTTTTGTTAACACAATCTCTGTGTACCAAGTTATCCATTAATACAACCTGCATCCCCAAGTTATTTGTAACAACAACCATTCTTTACCAAGTTTATAAACACAATCTTTTGCATCCACCAAGCTATTTGTTAAAACAATAATTTTGACTGAATGCTGAACACAACTACATCACACGTCCCCTAATGCCCCAACAACCACATCAGACAGCTGTTATTCTACCTCTGACAAGAAAATAGCAGACCCTCTGCTACAGAACAGAAACTCAAATCTCACAATTTCTGAGGCAGACATCATAAACTCTGCCACACATTATTACAAATAGGTCTTCCACACATAAAACATTCAAGATACAAACAGCTGTGTCTCTCACTTACAGGCTAGTGAATGCATTTCATAGTTTTCGGTGTAGCAGGATTAGATTCCCGCTGCAGACAGTTTATTTTTCTTTCAAAATCGTTTTCATGGCATTTAGGCAGTGATGTCACACCAAGAAAGAGGTTATGGCCTCAGCACATTATATTCGTTCCAAAAGTCAGAACAACCAGAACTTTCTTCCAGACTTTCAAGTCGGTAAAATCTAAGAAGAAGCAGAACTCTAATAGTCAGCAATTTCCGTACCGCAGCCACCCTTCAATGCGGAGAGGGCACACAATTACTACTATTATACAAGTAACTACAACACTGCCACAAACACAGACCTTGCTCCTGTGAAGTCTTGGATGTTTTGTTGTTGTCCTCCGACTTGCCAGTACTGTCTTCTTTCTTTTTGTCTTCCTTTGGCTTGGCTTTTGGCTTGAAATTCTAAATGGAGAAATCATGTCACCCATGTTATAAGTCGTCACGCTAAACATACTATGAGATAAATTCAAGAGGGGTGAAGAAATAAATAGGAGTCTGCATAACCATAGGTAACAAGTTATAAGATGACACAAAGTAGATGGTGCTATACTGGACAAATCCTAGGAAGAACTGGGTTGAGAATTGCCAAACAGGCATTAAAATGGGAAACAAAGGGACTAAGAAAGCGAGAACCCCCTTAAAAAAAACACCCTAAATCAGGACCCCCTAAAACAAATGTTCATGAGAGAAACCAAAGCAGTTGGACTGGATTCCTTCCATGATATTGAACTGGCTGCACATGATAGAATGGAATGGAGGAACAGACTGCTAGCCCTGTATGACGTATAAGGGTATACAACAAGACGATGACAATGTCAAAAGTAAGTACAGGATTCTTTCTACGCCAGTGGTGCATAAAGCATATAATGCTAAACTCATATTTTTATAGACCAATCAGCACTGAATCGGTGATGTGATCAACATCACACCGGCCGCCTTTACTTCCAATGACTTTATCTGGTCCCTTTTCATGGCTGGGTCAACCTGGGAGCAAAGGCCATTTCTGAGAGAGAGAAATCCAACTTGGTAGGAATGGGAATCCAAGACCTTCAGGCCGGCAAGTGAGGGTCTAGACAGCCACAAGCCCCCATGGCTCAACCACAGTGGTAAACAGCTATAGCAAGTTTCATAACCTGAAACCTTATATCTGTTAATCCCGCTTCTTCCTTTTCTGTATTCACTTTTAAAAGAGCAGTTGACAGGCTGCACTTAGTTAACCTCTCAGTCCAATACATCCAATTTCAGCATGCCTTAAAGTTTCCTTTTCCCCCACATGCCCCCCTCCACCCCCTTCCCTTTTCACATGAGGACCTGGAACCCACATGGGAATAACCAATCTTACTGATTACTAACTATCTGGCCCAAGTGGGTGATGTTCTGTGTCCTATGCTTTCAAACATTACCTTGTGGGGTGGTTTGCTTGTGCACTGTAAGCTTGTGTTACAAGGCTAGATGTTCTCCCTTATCTTGTTCATGATTATGTTTAGAGAATCTTAGTGTTGCCACCTATCATTTTCTTTGGTTATGTTTGCTCTAATACGCTACAAAAAATACTCCAACTGATGTCTACACAAAACATTGGTTCATTAATAAGAAAATCAGTGAATTTGAAGCTTATAAAGGTTTAAAAAGAAAAGTTTTATCCCATATGGCTCGGTCCCTCTCCACAGAGCGGCTAGCCGCATGCCGAGAGCATCACACAAAGTAAGAACTTCGTAGCTCCAGCAATGATTCCCAGGGATCTCCGTAAAAATTGCACTCGTGAACTGAACGGCGCCGACACAAAATGAACCCACGTCCTTCATAGAATGAGGCAAACAACTTGACCACTTTGCCATGAGGACCTCCTATTTGAAGCTTATAAAATGAGCTAATCTAAAGATAAAGAAAAGACCTTGGCACCTGACAGGACATACAATAAGAAAACAATACAACTAGAAAGTTTTTTTCTCTCAAACGTACAGGGTAAAAGAAATAGACCTAAAAATATATGAGGGCCTATACCCCACTGCGAGATCAAAGATACAATAAAACTGATATTTAGCTAATGAACAAGTGGCTTTATTTGATACATCTCACTCGTGTTAATCAACTTACATGCTTGAGAAGATGATCTGCGGAAAGAAGGCGACGGAGACAGTGTGCAAAGAATGGGTATAAGTATGCTTTACTATGGACTTTCACACCAAGACCAGTACTGTCCTAAATGTACAATCCTGTTTCTATTATTAATACCGAATGTCAGACGAACAGGGTGAAATGTGACTGCCGCTGAAGTACCACAACATGCATGTATTTTAGGGGGCACCTCTAAACCTTTGGGTACCCTTGGCAATCTAAGACCTACATCAGGTACAAATCAACTAGGAAGGGAAGTCAATAAGTATGTCACAAATTGTTAAAAAAAAAAAAAAAAAAAAACTAAAGACGATGACAACTTGAAAAACCATTTATTTTTACACATACGCTGTCCCTGTATATGTCAACATAATGTCCACCAACACTGATGTAAATGTCCCATCATTTTATCAGTCCTCCAAAACCTGCTGCATAGAACTGCGTGCTCTGTTTACTAAACCACATTTTCACTCTACATTCAACTTCTGTGTCATGAGCGAAATGTTGCCTGCCAAGGTGGGTTTTCAGTGGACCAAAAAGGTGGAAGTCATGAGGGGCTAAGTTTGTATGCTGAACCATGTGAGCACCCTACTGCAGCTGCTACAGAGTCAGCTGTTACTCGCCTGTCAGAACTAATCATCTCCTCCACCCGCTGCACAGATGCGTCTGTTGCAATCTCAACAGGATGACCAGATCAGACTTCAACAATTTTAGAGCGTCCTTGAGAAAATTTTGTTACCCAGCTATGCAATGCTTTAGGGGATAAACATTTGTCAGCATAAACAGGAAGCATTTCCTTATTATTGTCCTTTACAGGTTGCCCTTTTGCCTTTCCTTCCCCCCCCCCCCCCCCCCCCGATATGTACAGCAGCATGTTGTTCTTTGAGGATAAGTACAGTTGCCATTTTCTTTCTGTGTTGCAAATGTGCATGCAACACCTAGCGTTACGTACATGCAACACCTAGCGTTACCTAACAAATGGAGACATAAAGTTTGATGCTGCTGTCACCCAATGACACTTTAAGAAACCACCAACTACAATAAATAAATGTGAGTATGTGAGCATTCTGACTACTACCTTTAACTTGTTGATAAGATATCTCTGCTCCCTTTCCAGTGCAAGGATCTTCTGGCCTACATCTTCAACCAGCAGCACTGGGTTCTCATGAGGCTTCAGCAGCTTCTGGGCTTTCACTGTGGTGTCTCTCCATTCCTGGCAATAATGTCAAACATACATCATTTAGAGATATTAACAATACAGATGTGGGTGCGATACATAAACATGGCTCTAATGTGGCTTGATTCATTCACTAGAAATCATGGTAGTGCACTCTCTTTCAGCCTGACTTTACTAAATTCAAATCTATTAAGAGAGGAGGGGGGGGGGGGGGGGGGGGGGGTGTGTGTGTGTGTGTGTGTGTGTGAGTAAGAGAAACTGTTTTCACTATAAAAGTGGTTTCCAATTAGCTAAGACCTGCTAACCCTCTAACCTCTGAAGGTCTGCCATGGAGCCAATACTTTTAAAATCAGATTTAAACAGAAAGAATACTAGAATCACAGGGTCCCATTTTAGATAAAATGTAGTGTACACTAAGTAGAAGAAGAAGCAGAATCGCAAAAATGCTTGCATTCTAAAGTTGAGGTATGGGGAAAGGTTTGTAAATGATATCACAGACCCCTTAAAATTGTTCAAAATGATAAAGAATGCACTCTAACGTCCCTATCACTTCTGGTGTGTGCTGAAAGTTTCTGTTGTTGTTGTTCAACTAGACAGTAAGACCCACATAAAATACCAGGAATATTTTCTCTACCAGACAGTAAAAGCCATATAAACTACAGTTAGTTTCTTCAACAGAAATAAAACCTAAATAAAGTCAACAAAATCTATACTAAGATCATAAAACTACTTTAAAACTACAATCAACTGCTCTAATGTTGGTCAGTTTTTACCACCAAACAGAAAAACCATTTACCACTGTATCATTAATAAGTTTCTCCACCAAACAGTAAAACTTATAGAAACTGAAACTGATATATACTACCACTTACTACCGTATCACTAAGTTTCTCAACCAGACTATAAAATGTATGATACAGAAATTAAGATCTAATCAAACTAAAACTTAACCATGTATCACTGACCAGTTTCTTCCCCAAACATAAAACTTACTTATAGAAAAGTGAAACCTACAGAAACTAGCACTTACCACAGTATCATTGATCAGTTTCTCCATTGTTTCAATCTCGACTTGGGTGTATATTGGGTCTTCCACGCTTGAGAAGTTTTTCACAGTGGCCAGAAAGAACTTAGTCTGGTTCAGGGCGTCTTTCAAGGCATCCAGGGCCTTGGGCCTTTCCTCCAACTCAAACACTCGTTTAGTGATTTCCAGAGAAGCGTCCTTGAGTGCCTTTAATTTGTCCTTCAAATCCTGGAAGGAAAATACATAAACATATCTGTTACAATTGCCCATTAACAAACAAACAAACACAATTTTTTTTTCAAATAAAAGAAACAGATTAAGAATAAATAAAGAAAAACAGGCTGTAACCATAACTGTACACTCCCTGACTGTATCAACAATATAACAAATAAATTACCGATTTCTTGGCATCATCTGCATTCTCAAACCATTCTGATGTTACACTTATCAGAGTAAACAGCTTCTCCCGTCCTTCCTCGGTGGAGCACTTCTCATATGGTCCACTGCTCAACTTGTCCTGAAGGTCAAAGATGAATGATTCCAAATCGTTCCTGGCCTGTGACAATTCTGCTTTGGCCTGGTCAAGTTTTCTGAGCTCAGCCAGTCTGCAGAAGAAAACACAGCCAGCATTAAAACACAAAACAAAGCAGCATAGCTATCACAAGATCCGCTTCAGCGGGAACAGCAAGTTCAAATAATGATTGCCAGAGATGACAAAACTTCCTTAGTTGCCTCTTATAGCAAGCATGAGTAGTGTCGTGTCCTTTGCAGTAAGAGATAAAACAGCATAAGAAATTTTGTGTCTGTGTCTATAAGAGGTCCCCTCTGCAGTCTGTAGATGTACTTTTCTATGCCAATAAAGGTATGTCGAAAGTAGCTTAACTAATGTTAAGATGTCTCATGTCGGACAGGTTAAGGGAATGTAGCCAAAGAGACGCACATCCTGACTGCCTTGAAGGTAGACCAGAAACTGCTGAAAACTAAGGGGGAAACAAACTTCCTCAAAAAACACCTCTCAAGACTGGGTGCACTGAGTTCATTAAAACAGCTCAACTCTCTTTGTGAATGATGTATATTTTAACAAAGTGATGTTGTAATGTTGTAAGTTATCACATAAGTATGCACTGTATAATAATAAGAAGTGTGTAAAGACCACAATTATGAATATTCATTAATACTCATTGCGGTCATTAACAACAGTATCTATGGCTAAGGTGTTGCAAACGCTCTTCATAATGCCGAGTTCCATCCAAGCTGCAGGTGATCTGGCAGTACGCTGTCTTGCCCTGGTTTCAACAGTGGTATCGGGAGATTATCATTCAGAAAGCAATGGCAAACTAGTGAACATAAAATTGCCTAGTAAAATCACCACCATAAAAATGCTGAGGTTGGTTCTGCAACATCCTGTAAAGGACACAACTGTTTAATATTCACTGTTTGGTTGACAGTCTCATCAGAAACGCCTGCCAACTACACAAAGCTTGACCTCAGAGTTTCAGAGTCAAGTACAGACATGGAACACTTATCTGCTGGCTGTGGCTTTAAAGTGTTGTCCACATGCAAGAGAGAAACCTATTGCTAATCCTGTACTCAGTGAAAATGCATTTTTGTCATTTGAGTTCAGTCTTGAGCAGTGAGTGGACAGCTGTCAACTAACAGTTTTGTTATTTAAATAGGGCTGCCTGCGTGCAGTACGGTTATGCATCCTATGCTGTCATGCGGTTAACCTGTGTATCTCTGAATGGTTCTCTGTGGCGCAGTGATTTCAAACAGGCGTGAGAGAAAGTTACAGCCGCAGTGACGTGTATAAGGAGTTTGTTCCTCACCTCGGACGCCAGCAGGGTCTGGTTTTACGGATCTTCAGACAAGACTTATGCTGCACTTCCACAGTGTGCGCTACAGATAAGGGCTCATCTTTGTGAGCAGAAGCTGGCAGGGGATCTTGGAGTTGGTAGCCTCTAGAGATGTAGTGTCCACCCCCAATGCATAGGTGAAAACCTCTATCAAAACTCATTTGGAATATGGGTAAAGTCTGCTTGCTAGCCGAACATACTACTAAATGACAACCCTCAGTGAAAACGTCTCTCCAGTGGAAGAACTACAGAACTGTTGATCCAGCCCTATAACAGGAGATTTGCTAGAAACCTAGGCGAACAACATCCCTTACGGGCTAACTTGATCTGCTCCTGCCCTCCACTGAGTCTACACCCAGATGCCTTGTTAGGGCTCTCTAAGGGCAGCACCTGCAGATAAGGGGACAAAAAGAGCACTACACAAGTAAGGATAAGCCACGTCCGTCTAAACTATCCAGGAAGTTAACCCTGTCAACAAATGCTCAATGACGTCGGATGTGCCAGCCAAGAAGCGCAAATATCGCAGCTCTGTTGTAAACAGGCACAACACACTTCTGTCACTCAGATGAAAAAAGAAGAAGAACGGTTATCTGTAGAATGCAATGTTACCTCCTCAATGCCAAGTTCTGCCCCTTTTGATCTACTTGTAAATATCAACTACTGACCAACCCGGGAACTGCTGGATGAGAGTCATTTCATTCAACTTTATTGTCACAGGTGTCTGCATGAAAAAAAAATGCAGTCATCTGCAATCATAAAGTCATGTACTTTTAAGTTATTTATAGTTGTAGTTCTGCCGCTGGGACCCCATGTTTGCCACACTTCAATATACCCTAAGCGTGACAATATGTATCCTCTATACTTCAACATCACATGCTATGTTTAGCTATGCAACAACTGTTTAAAAGTAACAACTGGGCCGAAATGCCAATGTCAACCCCAAAAGGTGAAAATGTCCAACGACCGGAACCAGAGACATTTCCTACATGTGAGTGACTATTTTTTACCTTTCCCCTGTGATCTCACAGGCCAGCACTAGAGACACAGAGAACACATCTTACTTCTTTTTGCTGGCTTTGAACCTCTCCTCAGACAAATCTTTCACATCCAAGAACTCTGGTACTGCCTTGATAATCTCCTTGATGCTGACCACTTTGGGAACTTTCTCTTTGGCCTCTGTCTCCTTCTTGTCTGATTTGGTGTCACCTTGTTCTGAGGTGTTGTCAGCCTGCCGGGAGCAACCAAAAGGAAGGGTTTTATAAAGTAATCGACAACCAGCAGTTAAGACAAATCACAATGTGTTTTTTATGTACTTTAGGGGTTACGGACACACTTTCATAATTCTGACCATTCTTTCCTTTATCCCTCAATGGAGAATAGGCCCTTAATCCAACCCAGGTATCCTATCCCTTGCTATGCAGGTCACCCCATGTTCTCCACATCTATTCAACTTATCTTTAGCTTCCTTCTCTGTGTGTGTGCGCGCGCGTGTGCATGTGCAGTCTGCCTTTATTTCCATCAGCCTGTGGGTTCCAGTGTTGAGACATTCTTGGTTAGATTTCCCAAAGGGTACCCCATCCCAACACCAGCATCTTTCTTTTTTTTCTCCCGTGTTAGCAATTTTACAATTAATACCATTCAATACTGGTTCGATTAAGCTGCAGGTGACTTTATAGCAGATCCTTTTCGACAATGGTATGAGCATAGAAAATAATGACAGGCTAGTAAACTTACAATCACCTAGATAAAAATCACAAATGGCCAATAAATGCTGAGCCTGTACTAACTTGTTAGAAACCTGAGCAAACATCACAAGATGTGAAGTCTATCTGTTCTAACAAATTGCTGATAGTAAACACCTGTTTGCAACCACTTGTGGAGCAGATTTTTTTGAGAAGGATTTTTTTTTTAGCAGATATTGGCCTTGGGGAGTAAGTGTTAAGGCTTCACATTCTAGGCCATATCACATGAGAGACAGTGTTACTGGTTCCCTTCCACGTTGCTTTCCCCTCCCAGAAAATGTTTGTTAACAACTGCCTGGTAACCATGTTTATGAAGCTGCCGGGTCAACTCAGGGCCGAACTGGTCTGGTGGAAAATCTTGGTGTTGCTGCTGAATGAACGCAAACGACTCTCTTGGCTGGTAAGACGAGCACTAACCATTACACCACCACATGTCTTATAGCAACCATACTGAAATCCAAACTGGTTGTTGCGTATCCTTTACAGGACGTTGCAGAACCAACCACAGCAGCCCCTGGCTGTTGTGTGGTTTTTCTAGGCAAATTTACGTCCAGTAGTTTGCCATTGCTTTCTGGACGGTCGGCTTTCTTAATACCACTGTCGAAACCAACGCAAGGCGCATTGCCTGCAGCTGGGATCGAACCCGGCATTACGAAGCGAAGTGTTCGCATCGACTTAGCCACAGAGCCGACTGAAATCCAAACTACAGCAGCCTTTAATATGTTGTTTCATGTGTTAAATTTTCAATCAGCAATCACCTTTTCATGAGTAAAGTAAGAAAGCAAAGAACTTTTATACCTTGACACACTGACTATATGACGCTAAAGCCAAATTTGTACTGGCCAGGTGGCACTCAATGGAAGACGCGGTCAATATCATGCTGACCACCTTTATTTCCCTGGCACCCTTTTCTGACTGGGCCGGCCTGGTATCCACTGGTCAGTTACCCGCAGATATTTAAATCGAAAATCTTCAGACTGGCAGGCGGGTGTACAGCCACTGCACTCATTACCTTGGCTCCCTCGTTCTTAGGTACACTTCAAAATGAACTCCCTCACCTACCTGAGTGCTGCAATCACTAGTGTTCTTGCCACCAAAAATCTGCACGTGCAGTTTTATACTTAGCCACACTCGATAGAGAATACAGCTCTTAGACAGTGTCTATAGTCTTCTTCTTCTTCACGTTCACCAGCTGTACACTCTGGCGGAAAGTTCTGGTTGTTCGTCCACTACTGAACTGCAGTCCTGCTCCAGAACTTGAGTGTTGCGTGTGCATCAGTTTTACAAATCTCATTCTCTTGAATACAGACTGTTGGTTCCTTGCCTCTCCGGCAGATGCACTCCGACTTCAAAGGAAGCTCCCCAATTAGTCGACTCTTACGACATGCTTTTGGGTAGGCAGTGGGTCTATTCTTGTTTTCCCCTACAATGGGGCCCCGGAACCCACACGGGGGAGTGTCTATAGTGAATACAGCTCTTAGCCACAGTCTAGAGAGAATACAGCTCTTAGCCTGAGTCCGAAGAATCTCAGCGCAGTGCACGAACTCTGTAGCACCGGCAAGGAACCTGAAATATTTTGGGTAGATTTTTAACTCCAAAATTTGCCCCGGGCAGAGCCTTTAGGCTGCTCTTTTTGATTTCCAACTGCCAAGGGATTTTTATTTTTTACATGCGCAACAATACACACCGCCATTATTTTTTACTACCCAGAGACCAGTGGAAATAACCAGTTATTTCCAAAAAAAAATCTGTTTTGCCCGGGGCCTGAACCTGAGACGAGGCGGACACCATGCCTCAAGACCACTCAGCCCCCCCCCCCCCCCCCCCCCCCCCCCACAGTGTAGACATGTAATAGAGTGTAATTAAAAGGTCAGTGCACATATAAAAAAGTAATGGGGTGAGAGAAAGGGAGAGTGAGCGAGAGATTACCTTGTCATCTTTCTGAGACTCTTTCTTCTCCTGCTCAGCTTTTTTCTCGCTGTCAGTTTTATCAGCCTCTTCTTCCTTCTGTTCTCCTTCTCCAGCCTTCTCATCCCCATCCTCCTTCTGTTCATCAGCAGTGCCTTCGGACTCCTGGTCTGATTCTGGCTGCTCCTCCTAAACAAAGGAAGACAATCAACATTTATGCATTCAGTACCACTACTGGGGTAGTGAGGGGTTTGAACGGCTGAATTACTGGGGATACATTTAGAGAGACATCCTTTTCTTGAGCAGCAGCTTCTTCTTCTTCACGTTCACCAGCTGTAAACTCTGGCGAAAAGTTCTTGTTGTTCGTCCACTTTTGGACTGCAGTCCTGTTCCAGAAATTGAGTGCTGCGTGTGCATCTGACAGATCTGACTCATCCGTGTGCAGACTGCTGGTTCCTTGCCTCTTAGGCAGGTGCACTCCAACTTCAAAAGAAGCTCCCAATTAGTCGACTCTTACGACATGCTTTTGGGTAGGCAGTGGAACTATTCATGTTTTCCCTATAATAGGACCCCGGAACCCACATGGGGAGCTTTATGCAGCGATTGGCTGAGCAGCTAATAACACTGGCGTCTCTTTCAGGAGAACCAGGTTTAAATCTTTGGGAAGGTTTCTCTTCCAGTGGAAAAAAACCATAGCCAGCACACTATGTGGAGATTGGCCTAGCCATGTGCCCCATAATTCTGGAGGAACAACCAACCCACCCCCCCCCCCCTTCCTAAAAAAAAAACTTATTCCTTGTTGAAGGAAACGCTGGAAGGTGAAGAAGGCAATGTCACATGTTGGTGAAAATCAAGAAATTTACTCGATGGAGCCTGTATGTGCTCAGTGTGAAGCTACAGGACACGGTGTAGAAGACTCCTTCCAAATTCAATACTTATGACCACCAACTGGCAGCAATGTGGCAAAAAGCATGGTAATGTACACATCATGCACTGGAATGTCTAATGTGCAGTGATGTAAATTCTGATAACATAACATGATAACTGCTAGACTCAGAAGTCAACTTGCAGTGTACAGTCTAGACAGACCTCAGAGAAATAACTTTGATGATCTGCTGATGGTGTCACACTTCATAATCTAAATTTTGCAGTTATGAAAATAGGCAGCAAGTCAGTCTCACACCAACCAAACCTAGTCATCTCTTACAACGTATGTAGTAAATTAGAGTTAGTTGCATGTCTTTCTTAGGACGTCCTAACCCAATTGCAACATTTATGGGCGATGTGTAGTTTTATGAGCCAATCTTGAGCTCAGTAGTTTGACTTTCTAAGCGGTATTTGCCATCCCATGTGGGTTTCCGCACCCCACATTGGTCGAACAATTAAGGATGTTTTGTTAGAAGTCAGAGTGCATCTGGCCCAGAGGCAAGAAACCAACAGTCTGCATACAAATTAGACAGATCTGTAAAACAGATGGGCACACAAAACTCAAGTTTTGAAACAAGACCAAAGTCCAGAAGTTGATGAACAACCAGGACTTTTCACCGGAGTTTAAAGCAGGTGAACACAATGTTGATGAAGAAAAAAAGAAAAACGGTATGATGCTTATACTGCTATCTGATTTTGAATTCTGGCATGTCAGCATTGTGAAAATGAGCTCACAACCTCTAAGTTCCTGATGGTCCTTGTAAGCCCTGGCAACTGATATGCAAACATCTGCTATGCTGTATGTTAAACATCTAGCCAGATCTCTTTATCATGTCCAGGCCTAGTTTTACATCTTGTGTGTTAATTGTACGATCACATCAATTTCCAATGAAAAGTAGTTAACCTCATTAATACACACAAAAATGATCACTGAGATGCTTACACCTAAAAGAATTTTGTTTTAAATAAATAATTTAAAAAGAAAAAAACCATTTTAAAAAAAGCACACATACATAACTGCGCAAATAAACACATCTAGTTAACAAAAGTGCAAAATGTACACTCCATGCCTCAATGTAAGCCAATAAAATGTGCAATACAAATAAATGAAAAAAATTAAATATGAAGTATGACCACAATAATTCTCCAGACTAATCAGGAAGGCTACGCGAGGCAACAAATGCCTGCAGAAATCAGATGTGTCAGGCAAACAGTGTAAATATTGCAGCCATGTTGTAAACGGGCATAACACATTTATATCCTAAGATGGATGCAGACGAAGAACTCTCTAACACAGTAGGTCCCAGTTAGACAAGACCAATTGAGCCTCTTATATTTAAAGATTTGCCACGGACTCCATACTTTTCAAGTTTTTGTTTTTAAACGTGTATTAGAATAATGGGGGGGGGGGGGGGGGGCTATTTTGTTCCACCTAATGGAAAACCGCTGCTCTAATAGACTAACACTTTTCAATAATGAAAACCCCTTGATACAGTTAGCTAGCCACCTCACTAAAGGATTCGAACATATGGATCATTCATTTGTGACAAAGCCAACTGCTGTGATTCAACTGAGTCAGTCAGCTCATAACATAAATCAAATGGCCAAAAATTTAGGAATCTTGTAATGTGGCATCAGTTATGTGAGTTAACTGTGTGGGTTCTGGACCCGAATTTTTTGGAGAGAAAGAATACCCCAACCCCCTCCCCAAGCATACAAAAAAAAAAAAAAAAAAAAAAGGTGACTAATCTGAGATGTTTGTTTCCTTTGAAGTCAGAGTGCACCTGCTTAAGAGGCAAGGAACCACTGGACCTTTTCAAACAGTGTGAACACAAATAAGCCAGATTCGTAAAATGGACGCACATGCACAATTTAAGCTCTGGAACAAGAACAAAATCCAGAAGTGGACAAATGAAAAGAAATTTCCAACAAATTTTTCCATCTGATGAGCGCTAAAAAAGAAGAAGAGGGGGAGGATCAGGAATCTGTATGAACAACTACCTCTAACAGATGTCGAACAAAACAGACCTGGGTCAAACTCCTGTTTCAAGAGGAGATAAGGAATCTATGAACAACCACTTCTAACGAGTGTCAGACAGAACAGACCTGGGTCAAACTCCTGTTTCAAGTGGAGATAAGGAATCTATGAACAACTACCTCTAACAGATGTCGAACAAAACAGCCCTGGGTCAAACTCCTGTTTCAAGAGGAGATAAGGAATCTATGAACAACCACTTCTAACGAGTGTCAGACAGAACAGACCTGGGTCAAACTCCTGTTTCAAGTGGAGATAAGGAATCTATGAACAACACTTCTAACGAGTGTCAGACAGAACAGCCCTTGGTCAAACTCCTGTTTCAAGTGGAGATAAGGAATCTATGAACAACCACTTCTAACGAGTGTCAGACAGAACAGCCCTAGGGTCAAACTCCTGTTTCAAGTGGAGTTAAGGAATACATGAACAACCACTTCTAACAAGTGTCAGACAGAACAGCCCTGGGTCAAACTCCTGTTTCAAGTGGAGATAAGGAATCTATGAACAACCACTTCTAACGAGTGTCAGACAGAACAATCCTGGGTCAAACTCCTGTTTCAAGTGGAGATAAGGAATCTATGAACAACACTTCTAACGAGTGTCAGACAGAACAGCCCTTGGTCAAACTCCTGTTTCAAGTGGAGATAAGGAATCTATGAACAACCACTTCTAACGAGTGTCAGACAGAACAGCCCTGGGTCAAACTCCTGTTTCAAGTGGAGATAAGGAATCTATGAACAACCACTTCTAACAAGTGTCAGACAGAACAGCCCTGGGTCAAACTCCTGTTTCAAGTGGAGATAAGGAATCTATGAACAACCACTTCTAACGAGTGTCAGACAGAACAATCCTGGGTCAAACTCCTGTTTCAAGTGGAGATAAGGAATCTATGAACAACACTTCTAACGAGTGTCAGACAGAACAGCCCTTGGTCAAACTCCTGTTTCAAGTGGAGATAAGGAATCTATGAACAACCACTTCTAACGAGTGTCAGACAGAACAGCCCTGGGTCAAACTCCTGTTTCAAGTGGAGATAAGGAATCTATGAACAACCACTTCTAACAAGTGTCAGACAGAACAGCCCTGGGTCAAACTCCTGTTTCAAGTGGAGATAAGGAATCTATGAACAACCACTTCTAACGAGTGTCAGACAGAACAATCCTGGGTCAAACTCCTGTTTCAAGTGGAGATAAGGAATCTATGAACAACCACCTTTAACAGATGCCAAACAGAACAATCCTGGATCAAATACATGCTCCAATAACTGACGAGGAATCTAAACAACCGCCACCTCTAACAGATGACAAACAGATTTATTTTAGCTCAAACTCATGCTTCAAGAGGTTATGGGGAATCTGTATGAGCAACCACCAGCTTTTCTTTTTTCTTTAGTCAATATGTGCTATGTGCTGTAGGCACTACAGTTTCAATGATGGTCAGTGGTGGGCTAGGACTTGCTCAGTTGCTCAGTATGCTAACATCTCTAACAGAACAACACTGGCTGAAACTCATGCGTTAAGAGCCGAGAGACTGAAACCCTAACCTCACCACCATTGTATCTTATGACTACAAGTAAACAAAAGATGAAACCTTTTTATCGCTGCTGTCATCAGAGGTCTCATCCTTCTTATCATCGCTGCCAGTGTCAGTATCAGCATTTTCGGGGTCCCTGCCTTCAGCTTTTGCCGTGGTGTCTTCCTCACTGTCCCCAGCACCTGCACCATCATCACCTTCGGGTGTCTGCATGCAACATTATCATCAGTAGCTACAACATCACAACCATACTACAGAAGACCATTCAACATGCACTACCGTCTTTCTACCTGTATCCCAATTCAACGAATAACTGACACTTTAAACTATTCACATTCTGTCTATTGTATTCTATCGATATTTTAACCCGATTTCTACTTGAGTGATCCGAATTTATTTAATCCAAACCTCATGAACTTCTCAGAGTATTTTCTATACATCTGTGTTTCCCCTTTAGAAGTGTGGTTGGCTCACTGTGCTGTGCTCTACAACTAAGTTGCAATATTTGCATCTTTGATTCAACACATTCAATTTCAGCAAACACTTATTAGTTGTCTTTTATGACATGCTTGTTAGGGAGCAATGGGTAATCTTCCCCCCCCCCCCTCCCCCCATCAAGAACTCACACAGAGAAGACAAATGTCTTATCAATTAACAAGTACTGGAATCTCAAGTCGCAATATGCTGACAGATGCTGAGAATGAGTTCTCATCGGCTAAGGAACTATTTCATGTGCACTGATAGCTAAGTAAATAAATGGAAAAACACACATTTCTACAGTTATTTAAAGAAACAAAAACAATTTAGATGGTTCAGTCCGAAGATCGGTGTGGTATTGTCTCCACGATGTAACTGCACTCATAAACAAGATTTTTTTTTAAAACCTTTTCTAAATTGATTCTTTGTAAATGTGTATATTTCCCTTTACTTCCAATACATAATTCAAAAAACAAATATAGACATACAAGTGATGTGGTCAGTATCACATTAGCTATTAAACTGCACAGGATAAGTGATGTGGTCAGTATCACATTAGCTATTAAACTGCACAGGATAAGTGATGTGGTCAGTATCACATTAGCTATTAAACTGCACAGGATAAGTGATGTGGTCAGCATCTGGGTTTCAGACTCCCTCCTTTGAGTGCATGTGTTGTGAAGATCAACAAGAATTTTTGATTAAGCTACGGAGTTCATGCTTTGTGCAAAACTAATGGGTGATCAGTCAGTCTGCAGGGGAAGATGGACGGAGGGAGAGCAAGAAAGTGAGAGAGCACAATAGTGCAATAAAGATCAGCAAAACAGAGACGCACCTGCTTTTAAATACATACATGTGCCTTATGGGAGAGAGCAAATTTTAAAATGTAGAGTTGAAAAACTAAACAAAAGCCGATATTCCCTACAATGGCAAAGAAAAGATTAGTTATGTAACAGACACCACACAATTACAACAGCAATTAAAACAACAGACAAATATGAAAAGAAACCAGCTACCAAGCAGGTAGGTTAAGACCAACAATTACGCACCTCTGGAGATTCTTCTACTTTATGTTCTTCATCAGCCCCACTTCCAAAGAGTCCACCTATGGCACTTCCCAGCTCTGAAATGTAAATATACAAATTATACATGACTCAGGCCCTTAGCCCTGGTCTAGGTTTTGACAGGTAGACAGAGCTTCTGCAGCGTGCTATCTTCCAAATGTTACGGTGTCACCTTACTTCTGGAGTAAACAAGGCCGGTCAAAAGAGGTATTATGCTTCATAGGCAACACATGGTGCCTACAATACTGTCCAGATTTTGTGCTGTGCAGCGGAGAAACCTTCCTCCTTGGCCTCAATAAACAGGACTTGGAATCATCCACCATTTCCCTGGGCTGTGATTCCCATTTATCCCTAAAGCATAATACACCACGATGTCTGGAAAGACCGTTTCAGGGCTGCAGAAGTTGGTACTTTTGTACCAATCTGGTACTACTTCACCCCTGCTAAGTAAAACTACTACTGGTTCCACATCCGATGTTTTGGCATGTTTGATTACTTTCCGTCAACATTTTAAATTCCGGGATTGTATTAAAACTTTTAACGAGGTAAAAGTATCCATAAAATTCTATTTTTGTCTAAACAGTGAATGTTTCCTCACTTTCTGTCATTTGAATTCTTTGCAAAGCTAAAGTTATCTGGGTTGCTGGGTCCAATAAGTGTTAATAAAGCAGCATTATGCCACTGGTCATTTCATTTCCCAGCCTTGCTAAAGAAGAACATTATGAAAATATAAATTAAGAAAAGGAGGGAACTAACAGTGCAGGATTAACCCCCTAATGCTGGAAAAAAAAAATTTGCTTAGTCTTTTGGTATTACTTCATACCTCTGGCATGACACAGCTTTTGTTTAACTAGGTCCAGCAAGGTGATCCAAGCAGGATACAACTATCCTTTTAATCTAACAGCATGCTCCTGGCCAGATACCTCTATCATCATCATCAATTTCATCATCAATGTTCACTTCTGCTGTTAAGCGTTGTGGGAAGGATCAGTTTGCGATCCATTGCTTGACTGGTATCATTCGCTACTGTTATTCCGTGTTAATGCAGAAGCTCTTTAATGTTATCTCTTAGAATTGCCTCTTGCTTTCACTTCAGATCTTCTGTATTCACCCTTTAAGAGGCGGTTCACACATTGTGTTGTTATTTACAGCCAAGACCTATGGGGATATCTGTGCTCTCTGCCAAACACATCCATTCCAGCAAACTCCTATTTGGTCTGATTTTTTACCCCCACACAAAACGGAGCCCCAAATCTACTTGGGTAAGACAAGATACAACTATCCTTTAAGATAACTCTAACATTGCTCTAGACAGCATACAATTATCATTTAACCTAATACCCCATGTGGGTTCCAGGGGCCCACTGTGGGAAAAACAGGAATAGACCCACTGCCTCCACAAGCACGTCGCAGGGGTCAACTAACTGTGGACTTTCTTCAAATTTGGAGTGCATCTGCCCAAGCAGCAAGGAACAACCAACTGCACATAAATAAGCCAGTAACATGGATGTACATGCAAAATTCAGGCCCTGGCTCGCAAAGTCCAAATGGATGAAAAACCAGGACTTTCCGCTGGAGTTTACAGCCGGTGAACAAAGAAGAAGACATACTCTAACAAGGTTCTCCAGACAGGACAAATACTTTAAACTAACAAAGTGCTCCAGACAGGACAAATACTTTAAACTAACAAGGTGAAGGACACAGCTATCCTTTAACCCAGCGGAATACTACTGTTCTTTTACTTTTAGCTCAAGAAAACTAAAGATTTCTTGAAAATACACATAACACTTACTAGACCAGGTAGACTTTTCACCTGCATCTGCTGTGTCATTCTTCTCAAATACAGACTCCACCTGCAGAATTGTGAAATGTTATTTAATACTTGAAATTAACAGCAAAAGGTTCACTTACACTATCAACCAGAACAAGAGGATAGACAAAACACAAAGAAAACTCAATAAAGACAAAAATGTCATAGTTAAAAGCCTGTCATCAAGAAAATGGTCATATTGGGTAGCTGAGCAAGACTGTCATCAAGAAAACTGTCAAATAGGACAGAAATGTCATAAATTAAACTGTCAAATGGGATAGAAATTTTATTAAGAAAACTGGGCACCCCTCGGAATTATGGTTCCCAAATTATCGAGGTTACAAACATACCCTAACAGGGCCGCAATAGGTCATTTAATAAAAATATAAAAAAACTGAAACAAAAATATCAGAATGAGCGACACACTTACCAATAATAATTAATAGTCATATCTGATAATTGTGGCACAAAAGTTGTAAATACTTGTCCGTACGCTACGACGAGTATGACGACACCGCCACGAGAATCTATCAGAACATAGCACCCAAACAATTAACCACATCAGGCATTTGCAGCAAGAATATGCCTGTGTTTCCTATTAATCTGTGTGTAGCAAGCCATTATTATTCATGAATTCATATAACTCAGCAGGTCTAACATCTACAGGTGCCAGTTCATCAATCACCACAACATAATTGGTAATCAATCTGTGTTGGAGCTAATGGTCTGCCTGCCATATTTGTCGGAATCCAAGTTTTTCATATCACTTTACATTATCATAATGTAACTAGACCATGTTTACACTGAAACCCATAAGGTCACAGAAATAAAGGTAAACCCACACGGAGAAATGAACCTGAGAGTGAAATTTAAAAAACAAGGAAGACATGGCATGAGAGCAAATGACAGGATGCCTTGGCCTGAGAGCTGTGGGCCTATACTAAACCGGGTGCTAAAAGGGCAGAAGATAAAGCAGAAGAAGAAGGAAACTATATTCTTCACTGCAACTATTTTCTCACATCCAAAACTATACATTATATTCTAGCGATCACACAAATTCCAGATTTCACATACTCTGTCCAAGCTCAGCAGTCCACTGCCATCCATCTGGAAGTGAGCCTTGATGCCTCGAGCTTCTGCTTTGTCTTTGTTCTTTGCCAGGGCATCCTCTACTCCAACCAGATGGTACCTGCTGATCAGTGAGCTACCAAACGACCTGAGAGAGAGAGAGGACAACAAGAAACAATTAAGGAATTGCTTATTTGTAAATATGTGCATATACTGTCTCGGATGTGGATTTTCTGGTTACAAAAGTGACAGCGGGCAAGGCAGACATTCTGAAGAACATTAATTAAATTAATGCTAATGGAAGGCACAATGTCAGATGAAACAACGTGCATGTTATTGGATGAATTTAGAATTAAGTGTGGGTGCAACAAGAAAGCACAAGAAAGAGTATGATGTGTGTAAAACCAGTGTGCTACTGGAATGTTCAGCAATTACACCTTAACATATCTGCAGCAGGAGATTAAGTATCCGTAATTAGCTGTAAAGAATGGTGTCTTATCTTATACAGAGCAAAGTATAATCTACTATTCTAGTGGTTTTTGAAGTTATGTGGATGTTTATCTCTATAAGCTGGTATTCAGTCCAGAGGTCACAAAACATTTAAAAGGAATGGGCAAAGTCCAGGGCAACCCACTCCAGGAACCCTGACCACCAATGGGCAAGGACTGGGGCAGCCTACTCTAGGAACCCTGACCACCAATGGGTAAATTCTAGGGCAGCCTACTCTAGGAACCCTGACCACCAATGGGCAAAGTCTGGGGCAGCCTACTCTAGGAACCCTGACCACCAATGGGCAAAGTCTGGGACAGCCCACTACAAGCACCCTGAATAATCAATCAATGGGTACAGTCTGGGGCAGCCCATCCGAAGCACACTGAACATCAATGGGCAAAGTCCAAGGGCAGCCCACGCAAGCCACTCTGAAAATCAATGTCCCATAAGATTACCAGTCTACCTGCCAACTACTTTGGCATTTCTGTATGTGTGTACAATTGTACGCATGTGGGAATGTTTGTGCATGCATATATATGTTGTATGTGTGCATGTCTGAAAATAAAAATGTATGTATTTCTTATCATGTACGCATGATGCATAAAATTCAATTGTTCTGTGAAACATGAACTGTTAGAAGGGCCAAATGCAAACAGGCATAATATATCACAATGTGGAAATAAAGTTTACTTACTACTGAACCAGCAAAACAGAAACAACATGTGTTATAACAAAGCCACCACCTACTTTCTATCCTCCTCATTGAGAAAGTCAAGGCCACTGTAGACCACATCAAAGGAGAAATCTTTTGTGTGTTTGTTGAAAGTCATAACTTTCTTCTGGGGGAACGGATTCATACGCCCAAACAATGTACGTCTAATGATCCTGTTTTTATCATCAGCATCCTCATCCGTCTTCTGTTTCTCAAACTCCACCTGAACAGGAGAGACAGGAAGAATCACTATAACAGATTTACCTGAGGTCACTCAAACAGCATGTGAAATAAACTGGTGGGTACTCACCAAAATAAATAAAATAAGTTAAGTTGCCCAGGCTTCCAGTTTGGAATCTGATTCTAGGATGACCATGAAGAGGTGTGGACAGATCCTGACCTGTATTTATCGCCTATATATGACTGGCTTTCTATTTCTAGCTGGTAAAGAAGTGTTGTAGGTCTGCCTGTATATTATCTCTCCACGATCTTCTTGGTCTGAACCGTGTCTATTCCTATTAAACTCTTTTGTGTGTATGCAGTTTCCCTATATGTCCAAACATACTGAGTCTATTAGTTAGTTAGTTAGTTGGGTTATCATCATTGCACTCCGGACATGTCCATAGGTGCTCAGATCCTCCCCTCAGTATGAACCCCAATGTCCGATGGCTAATAGTACCAGTTCTATGTTGATTAACAAGTCTTATGACGTGTCCGGTGTGCGTCTCGTTTTTTGCTGTGCCGATCTTAATTCCCAAGTCTGCCATTCTGGCGAGTGATGTGGATTCACTGCCACCAAAGTCCGCTATCCTTCCCATTTCTCTGAGGGCATTGATAATATCAGCATGATCCATAGGCCGACCGTCGGTAGTGATAGCGGATCCAGCCAACCTGTCAGCTCTTTCATTTCCATCGACGCCTGCGTCCCGGAACAAAAATAAAGGTGACTCCACGCACAGTGGACTTCTGAATTGATTCAAGCCATTGTCTTCGCACTGAACCTGCCTGAACCCTCCGGATCATACTAATTGAATCACTGGGTATACATATGCGGGTGTATTTGTGTATTTCAAGCCAGGCAAACGCTTGCGTCACTGCCATCATCTCCATCGTCATGCTGCTGGTTGTCATGGAGAAGGCGCCGTTGGCTTCTTTGACCGTTCTGCCCGCTGAGCGTGCTGTAAATGATCATGCGCTTCTTCTTTGGCGTATAATGGATCCGTCTGTATAGATTAGTGCATCTGCTTCGTCTGACCTCTGCATTAACAGCAACAGGATTCTCTTCTCTACATCGCCTGTTGAGTGTGACAATACAGGAAAATGTACAAATAAACATGTTATCAACAATTGTAGTAACCTATAGAAATGCGTTTTGGCTAGGTTGTAGGGTAATTTGTATTGTACGGTGTTTGACAAAGTTATGCAGTCTTGTAGCATTGTTGTGTGGGTTAGGATTGTTCAAGTAGATTCTGTGAAAGCAGTTATTTAAGGTTGTAATGCACTGGTTTGGCATTAACATCTGCCCACACACAATTGGCCATTCATTCTGTGTAGGCCTCAGGATCCTCGTGTCGGGGACAGCGACTTAGGACAGCGCTGTACAAGAATGGTGTGGGTTTGTGCCCAGTGCTTATCCATGGGAATGGGAGGGCGTGACTAGTAATTTGTAAAGCTAGCACAGCCTGCATTTCTACAGCTCCTGAGGTTAACTTCCATTGGTTTAATGATCTTTGTACATTACAGATTTTGTGTGTCGGCCGACTTATGCATGAAATGTGGATTTGCTAAAATCACAGCCTGTGACAAATTTTCTCTGCAAAGGACAGTGATGGACATAATGTGTGTGTTTCACTGGCACAGCAACGGAATAACTATAGGGGTGACCTGTTTGCTATGAAGTCAGAAATCCGATCACCTCCTTACTGTTCTATGTGCAGTGATGATTTATCGAATAACTAACCAACCAATGAAAATACACAACATATAACACTTACACTGATAGGGTAGATGTTCCCCTCCTTGACAATAAACCTCTTGACTTTGAAACCTTTACCAAGATAAGCAGCTTGATAGACAGCACCCATTGCAGCAGCCTCGTCTGTATTGAGACCCTTTCCCAATTCAGTTCTGGAATAAAAGTAGCAATGATTAAATATATTTTAAAACATCGATATAACTATTTAGTAAATATTTATCATAATCCATTATACTTTTAAAATCAAAAACTACATACCGAAGTATGTCTATATCTACATTTTCAAAATCTGCGGCGCATACATTTCCCCATTTTTTTATGCAAGCACTACCATATTTAATCATATTTACAGGCATTTATCCCCACAGGATAGCAGCCCCACAGCATACTCCGTGCAAGAACAGTTTAGGCCCCTGAAGTACACTCATCCAAGGGACCCGACCACAACACTGTGATCTGCTTGTTACAGAATCAGTTAAGAAGAAAAGTAAAAAATGTGTGGTCAAACAAAAGTAGCTGAGACAACAACAGAATGCTCACCTGCCCAAATACTCCATCAGTATCTCCTGGACTTTGGGCATCCTGGTTCCTCCACCCATGAGGATGATCTCAGAGATCTCTGGCTAATATATTAATAGCGCTTTAGAATGCAATATCTCAGACACTGAGCTCCATATAAACAAAATATTTGAGCAGCACTATGCAGTAAAGCAAACCAAGTATTGGGACAGCTCTTACAGTATAAGACGACCCCGATCAGCACAAAGGAGCATCTCATGCAAAGCATATTCATTCCCACTCTATCCCCGTGTGGGTTCCAGGGCCCCATAGTGTGGAGAACAAGAAGAGACCAACTGCCTGCCCAACGGCATGCCATAGGAGTCGACTAATTGAGAGCTTCTTTTGAAGTCGGAGTACATCTGCCTGAGAGGCCAACAGTCTGCATGCAAATTAGTTAGAACTGTTTAACGATGAGCACGCAACTCAGTTTCTGGAACAGGTCTAGTCAAGAAGTGGACGAGCAACCAGAACTTTTTGCAGAAGTTTACAGCTGGTGAACGCAAGGTTAAAGAAGAAGATTACCACTCTATGCTTCCAGTACCAGATGCAGTCATTTAACTATATAAGAAAATTAGTAACCATGGAAATGAGATGTCTGAGAAGGGCTGCAGGAGTGACCAGAAGTGATAAAATCAGGAATACGGTCATAAGAGGAAGAAACAAATTAGGCACAGAACCATTCCTACATTACAGACAGCAAATCAAATGGTTTGACCACTTAGAATGCTTTGTGACGCCATAACAAAAAACATAACCTGGTGGACACTAAAGAGGACCTGATGGTTATTTAAGAGGACCTGGTGGACATTTAAGAGGACCTGGTGGTTATTTAAGAGGACCTGGTGGACACTAAAGAGGACCTCTAAAAGTAGCTACTTCAGTCAAATTTTTAAAATGCCCTCTACACCAATAAAACCAGCACAGTTAGGTAGCTGTAAACAATCTCTTTCCAATGGTACCTCATTTAGGCTTGTATGTCATTTCTGAGCTGAGATATGTAGGTTTTTGTGGAGATGAGATGTAGAAAGCAGCTGCTAAAACTTGTGACCCAGAAACAAGGTTTTCTCTGCGCATGCGCACTTCTGTTTTGGCTTTGTTGACATTGGACTGTCACTGGACAAGATGGCAGACAATGAGACACAGCCACATACCGAATGCCTAAAAAACGTCACTGTAAATTTAAAAAGCCACTGTTCAGAAAGAAATTTGTAAATGTAAATGAAAAATTGGACGGAGAATTCAATTATAACTAGCATTACCAGTACGAGTAATTTTTAAAGCCTAAAGCCAACCCTGAATCCTTATCGCTATTTTCAATCAAACTGATGTAACAGAAAAACAGAGGACATCCGGCTGTCATAGACATGCGCTGTTAATCGAGTTCCTTCCCGCCGTTTTCAGCTATTTAGAGTGGGTGAAAATCACACCAATTGCAAAATTTCATGAGAGATTAGGACCCATCCCGAAACCCCAGCCGACATTTGCGAAACAAGTTTCGAACGGTTTCCGGGTAACGGAAATTGCCGAAGAGACAGCAAATTGCCGAAATCGTAGTCGCTACTAAAAGTCTGCTCCAATAAAAAAGAGAAACAGAAGAAGCAGCAGACAAAACTTTGTCAGCTGTTATAAAAATTCAGGGGGTTTGAAATCTATGCCTACCAATCAGAAAGGCAAGCATGCTAACTATTGCATCACCGCTGCCCCCAGGTTACTAAAAAGATGTAATTTTCATATACAGAGTCATTATTTCGCAATGCTGATTTTTGTTGTTGCTATGAAAGGAAGCGATCACTAAATACAAAAGGAGCACAGAAATAACTTTAAACCCCAAATAATATCCAAGACAATTTTTCTTTTCAATAAATATGATCCCCACCACGTCCACACAATGTGCAGTTGCAACCACTGGCAAAGATGTTATACAGGCGTAGTGGTCACTGTCCAACGAGGTCAGTCACAAAAACCAGTAACAGTCAGAAAACCGGCTTTCTCAGTGGTAACAAGGTCAAGAGGACCTGAGGGACACTTAGCAAGAAAAGATCCTTTGCAGTTGCAAAATGAAACAACCATGCTGTCCAGACTATATTTTTACAAACTAAAAGCACACCTTTAATATAAGATGTAGAATATATGACTGTAACTGAAGCTTGCTTGAGGTTCCGTGTGTGCAGAGGGAAAGATACAACTGAACAGTCGCACTAATATAAAAACACTTACCAGAGTGATCTCAGACACTCTAAGTGCATCCTCGATTGGTTTAATGACCCGCTCCGTGAGGTCATGGGTCATATGTTCCAGCTCAGCCCTAGTGACAGGAATGCGCATGTCCTTCTCATCAATCAAGTTCTCCACCTGCCAAAATAAAGGCAGGGTAGTGATGCCTTTAGTTCATGTGTACTAGGTTTAACATCTAAGGTATGATTTATTCACGCATGTACTGTATGTGCGTATGAGACTGAAACAGAGCAATAACACTTTCTAAATGCCTTGTGTCTGTATGTGTGTGGACGGGGGAGGACGATAAAGTGTGAGAGAGACAAAGAGAAAGAAAGAAAGAAAAAGAAAGAAAGAAAGAAAGAGCTATACAGAAGATTGAAGAGGAGTGATAAGTGCCATCTATCTGACTGTAAATGTGAGTGAGAAAGAGGGGCACAGAGAGAGAGAGAGACAGAGACAAAACAATAAAAAAACAAGGGAAAATGTATAAGAAGGATAGAGAAACAGCACAGGTAACCACGCACAAATAGCCATTCTCAGAAGTATTACCTGTGCCGTGTGGTCAAGGTTAGCACTGAGGACCTTCTTGACCCTCTCAGCTTCCTTCAGGAGTTTGGCCAGGGCTCGATCATTCTCCACAACCTTCAGGGTGGTCTTCTTTTGTTCATCAAAGACTTTAGCCAAATGTGCCCGAAGCCTCAAAGTGAACTCCAGACCGCCAAGGGTGCGGTCAAATCTGTCAAGTTGGACAGACAATAAAATAAGCTGTTAAAAATTGACATTGACAGTGACCTCCACTGGGTGTGAACTACAAAAAGTTCTGGTTTTTCTTTCACTTCTGGACTTTGGTCTTGTTCCAGAACGTTTCTTGCACATCATTTTACAGACCTGGTTTATTTGTATGCAGACTGTTGCTTCTTAGCTCTCAGACACACACATCCTAAATTTAAAGGAAACACCACAATAGTCAAATTTTACGACATACTCGTTTGGGGGCAGGGAGTCCACCCAACACCCCTTTCCCAAACAAACCCGAGAACCCACATGTGGTTTGTGTGTGTGTTTATTCGATTAATCATCATCATGGCACACAGGTGAAACCCACAAGAGCTCTGTTCTACTTCTAACTCAAGCCTGAGTGTGAAGAATTTCTGCGCAGTGCAATCTCCATTGTACCTGCAAGAATCCTGAAATACTTTGGGTAGATTTTGTAACTCCAAATTTTGCCCGGGCAGTGCCATTAGGCTACTCTTTTCGATTTCCAACTGCCAAGGTTTTATTACTTGCACAACAATACACACGGACATCTGATCTTACTACCCAGAGACCAGGAGAAATTACTAGAAGTCTACGTGAAAAAAATCCCAGCCTTCACCAGGGCTTGAACCTGGAACCTCCAGCACTTGAAGTGGATGCCATAACTCACAAAGACCACTCAGCCCCCTAGGGATTACACTGACACAGACTGGGTCTGCTCAAGGTAGGTTTTAAAAAAAGAAAGAAAAAAAAATGACGCTTAAACATAAATCATCAGTATGTAATCAGGCAACTGACAAGCTGCGCTAATTTTGATTTGTATTCAAGATAGTAATTTCTTTATTTTAGAAAACTGCGCACACATGTTCACACATGCACAAAAGTTCAACTTGTGACCCACCATGTTTGTTTTACACCTGAACACTTTCTAGGACCTCTCTGGGTACTGCTGCTGAATTTGGAAGATATTTTTTTTTCTTAAAATTTCCCCGGCTATAAAATGCTGAAAGTTGTGGTTGTTCGCCCACTTCTGGAGCTTGTTCTAAAATTGAATTTTGCATGCAAATTCTGTTTTACAGATCTGGTTTACTTATATGCAGACTGTTAGTTCTTCTCTGTTCAGGCAGAAGCGCTCCGTCTTCAAAGAAAACCCCCCTAATTAGTGGCTTTTTATGAAATCCATATTACTGAGGCTATGAGTCTAAATCCCTCCAAAACGGGCCCCAGAACCCACATGGAAAACTTACAATTCTTAATGAAGTGAAACTCACTCACCCGACACCTTTAATTGTCAGCTGGGGATTGGATTCTGAACGAGTTCCCTCTTTGGTCTTCACAACATTGTAGCCTAGTGGAGGATCATTGAAAAACTACAATGTAGATAACTGAATTCACAAATCAATTGGTTACTGTGAATTGCAAAAAAAAAAACACACACAAAAACAACAGCAACTGAAAACAGGTCAGCACTACGTAACAAGTTGAAGAAGAAAAAGAAATTTTCTTCTTCTTCTTCATGATCACCGGCTGTAAACTCAAGCAGAAAGTTCTTGTTGTTCATCTACCTTTGGACTTTGGTCTTGTACTAAAACCTCAGTGCTGCGTGCACACCTGTTTTTACAGATCTCACTTATTTGTCTGCAGACTGTTGGTTCCTTGCTATCCAAAGGTTTACCATACCCTCCTGAAATTACAAAATCTCAGTGTGGATGGGAAACCAACAAAGCAGTTCCCAGATACCCTGTTCATCCTCCAAGAAAGCTGCAATATGGCTACCCATAGTGGCTACACCAGCCAGGTGTAATCTGCAGTCCTGTTCGGGTAAGGACCGTAGGTATAAAGTGCTAGCCTCATATTTATATTGACTAACTGGAGCTTGACAGGCGATGTAGCCAGTTTTATACCAGCTGCCGGCCTAACTACCACCCCCTGTTTGGGGTAGGATTTTAAGAAAGAACACTAGCTGAAAATTTCCTCCTAAGTTCCCGACTATATGGTAGCTCTTAATGCATCCCAATTACTGCATTTACAGACCTCACACAGTCTTGCTTTCACAGCCACACTTGTTCATTTTATTTACTTCTCAGTTTAACCATTATGGGGAAAACTCTGTTTAATAAAAGTACAACTGCGAGATAAATGTCATGTACAAAAAGCCAAATTAATGGGGAAAAGTACACAGATTTTTTTATAAGTCAGATCATCAGACAGGAGAATAAAATTAACAGAAAGCTATTTATTTACTCAAGGTCAATGCAACAGATTGAAAAATAAGAAAGGATGTGCCAGAGTCCGGCAGTTATTTAACCTTCTTCTTTTCATCGTTCACCGGCTGTAAAAGTTGTTTGTTTGTTTGTCCACTTCTGATTTTGATCGTGATCCAGAATTGGACTGTGCGTGCACATCAGTTTTACAGATATTGCTTATCTGTATTTAGGCTGTTGGTTCCCTGCCTCTGAGGCGGATGTATTCTGATTGTATAGAAAAACACCCCCTAACATGACCTACGACATGCTTGTTAGGGAGGTGGTGGATTTATTCTTCGTCTCCAAATTGCAGCCTCGGATGCTAGATAGGGAAGTCAATGAAGGAAAGAAGAATGGGTTAAACTGAAGCAGTCTTCAGCAGGTGGACCGTAGCAAGTAGTGTGTTCACAGAGTCTACAATCTGTTGCAGTGAATCAGTGAGGGTCGGCACCAAGTCACTACTGCTAGGCTCACCTTCCAGCTACTAACTACTCACCAACAATGGTTGCTGTGGTACTGGTGGAGCCCATGTCGTAGAACATGTAGTACTGTGTCGTTGCATTAAAGTTCTTGCGTCTGAAGATACCATAGTTCAGGGCAACTGTAAGACAGCAACAAAAAACATGACAGCAATTCTATTTATCTGTTTCAATAGGAACATTGTATGTGAAGAGTCTATTATTATATGCTCAAATATTTTAACTCCAAGACCAAACAAAGAACATATAAAAACAGCGGTCAAAGATCTGGGTTTTTTCACTATGGAAAAACAGAAAACATTAAGACAATCTAAGAACATCACACAAACTCTGCACCACCATGAGGATACAGATGTATCTACAACAAAATCATACACTAATTTATGATCAAGTTATCTAGCTATGAATTTTAGAAATCTTCTTCTTTGTTCACCGGCTATAAGCTTTGAAGGAAAAATCCTGGTTGTTCGTCCCTTTGGACTCTGGCTTTGTGACAGGGCCTGTGTTTAGCGTGTACATCCGTTTAACTGGCTTATTTGTGTGCAGCTGATTGTTCCTTGCCACTCGGGCAGATGCACTCTGACTTCAAAGGAAGCCCTCAGTTAGTGGACTCCTACAATACGCTTGTTAGGGAAGCATAGAAAGTGTATTCTTGTTTTCCCTGAACCCATACAGGGATGTTGCCATAATTATCATCACCATTGTCCTGTTGTGCCGTTATATGTCTCATTGTATGACTATTTCTCTTACACACACTCTCTCTCTCTCAACCACACACACATATGTGCACACAAATCTGCACACATCTACACACGTAAAAAACCCATAAGGCACAAACTATTCTTACCAGCAGCGTTATCACTAATTAGTTGGAGCACATCTATGCCTGCCAGTTTTGCTGAGGTCAGCACGGCTCTCCTCTCCGCCTGATTGTAGAACGGCGGCACTGTGATGACAGCATCCTTGATCTCTTGTTCTGATAGAGGGAAGAAAGAAGAAACACAAACATTTCAATCAACTGCTCTTTGCCTTGAAGAAAAAGGGTGGAAATCATAGCCTGTCATTTCAAACCATCACTAGTTTCAGATTCATAAAATGCTAGATCCATTTAAACCTTTTTGCCAGATTATCTAAGTATTCATGTTTCTTCCTCTTGTTCTTTGCTCTTGCGTCTGCCGGGTGTCACCAAGTTTTCATGTTCATTCTAGACATGCCCAATGTTTCCAGCAAATTTCTCTAATCAATCTGAAGTTGTAATAATCTGCTTCGTGACAGTGTCAGATCAGCAAAGTATGCTCAGTAAGGTTTTCTTCGTCTGGAATTCATGGGAATTGGAACTATACCCCCAAAAAATGTAAAACAGAAAAGCGGAATATAATAATTACAGTAATTAAATTAAAATGACTAAGATCTCATTTGCAAGCCATTTCTACGGTCTACTGGAATCAGAGAAACAAGAGAACAGAGAGAAAATGAGACGACCTAAGCTCATCAGTTACGATATACTGTCCTCACACGTTGTAATTCAGCGTTCGATTGCTAACACCATATCATGTGGGCAAAAGAATTAAATACTGAGCACAGATTAGTCTACAAACAATATGGTGCCAGCAACATATCCAATCGTGGCTAAAATGGGTCTAGAATTATTTACTTTACTAACATAAAACCGGAAGAAGCGACAAAATAACACCCAAAGAAATGTCAAATGAGATTTTACTGTATTTGCTTTATTTATCTCAGAATTAAAATAAACCAATAAAATGTCTCCCAAAGAAATGTCAATGGAAAAGAGAATAACCCTAATTTGAAAGTCACATCTATGTTCTAATGGAGTCATAGGAACAAGGGAATGGGCAATTACAAGACACCAACAGCTCATCAATTACTGTAGGCTGTCCACAGAAATAATTCAGCGTTGGATCTTTTAATCACGTGAGCCACAGCTAGACAAATAATTTCCTTAATTATATACAGAAAAAAGATGAAGAAATCATGACACTTTACTAAGCCCACATCAAACCTGTCAGCAACCACATTCTGACTCATTTCCTGAACTCAACATGCACAGTCCTTAACTAAGCTTTGCTTATCCTGTCAAAACTCTGAATGAGATGAGAACTGTGAGTTATTGGCAAATAAAGCCACATTTATTGTCTGACTGACTGGCACCTTTCCAGACGACACATAAACTCAATAGTTATTACATGTTATCCCCACACATTATAATTCAGCGTTGCATTGTTAGCAGGACATCATGTAAAGCTGGACAAGACACTGGGAATCGTCTGGTGTATGAAGATATGTTGTTAGCACCACTTACCTTTTAAACCTCCCAGCATGAAAACAGGGTCTTTTACTAATTAATTACCTTACCTCAAAATTGGAAAAACCAACAAAATGGCACCCGAAACAAACATAAAATAGCAGAGAGAACTACTGTAATTTCACTAACTGAACTAAATAAATAGACCATACAGCTTAATTCACTTGTTTGCTCCACTGCAGTTCTTCGCCCTGGAAAAAATGTATGGGGTTTATGGAATCCTTTACAAAACATCCCTGTACTGGTTCAGGGGTCCTGTATTGGTTCAGTGGTCCCACTGTTGGGGGGTAGGGAGGGGGGGGGGGGGGGGGGGGAGAGAAAATACTAAAAGACCCACTGCTCCCATAACGAGCATGTCGTACATGGTGACCTAATTAGGGTTTTATTTTATTTAGAATATATCTGCCTCTCTATAAAATGGAAGTGCATGCAAAACTCAGGTTCTGGAACAAGACTACGGTCCTGAGGTGGACAAAAAACCAGAGCTTTTCATCAGTGCTTACAGTCAGTGAGGGCGAAAAAAAAAACAATTTTAAAAACAAATATACCCAACAACAACAAAATATTTAAAATAAAAAAAATAAATCAGTTCAGAATGCAAGTCTCGTTTAGCAATTCTAACATGCAGAGATTATAATCAGTATTCAGTATGAAAGTGCAACAAAGTTGCTGAAAGTATAAGGTCAGAGGTAGATCACTGAAAAAGAGAGGCGTCTGCAGGCTTTTCGAACTAGTAACATCGCAAAATTTGGATCACACACACACATACAAAAAAAGAGAATGGACAGATAGACACCCAGGCTCATCAGTTACTGTATGCTGTCCACACACATAATTCAGCGTTGGATTGTTAATGACACATCATATGAGCTGGAGAATTATTTTGTCTATCTGTTCATTTATGGTCCACAATGTGACACGAAAACCAGTAAGTAAGAGAAGGGAATTTTTTAGCCAGTGGTGCATTTGGATATATGATACTAGACCAGTGGTTTCCAACTCTTGCTTCCTTCAGATGGTGGCTCCTTGAATATACACCCAACTTTGAACAAATGTGTTTCAAAACAGGAGGACAAAAAGAAAACTCCCAAGCACTATTAACAAGAACTTTCAATCAGAACACTCTTGTGTGGACCCCCCCCCCCCCCCCACCCCCAAGGTAAAAACCATCCTGCTAGACTCATTTTGTTTAAGACAGATCAACACTCTAGACATGATGCTGTCAATTCCAAGCTGGTCATCTTTATGCCCTAGAACATTTCTTGGTACTCAAGTTGGGTGGGCCTGGGTTGACAAAACTCCACCATAATGCAGGTCTGAACCCAACACCTTCAGGTGGAGAGGCAGGTATCTAGCTATTAGGCTACCACAGCTTTTTTTCATCTACAGTACACGGCAGAGAAGGGAAGACTCAACATGACTATAAGATACCTCCTAAGTGCCAGACAGAAGTAGAAAAAAAAGACAAAAGGGCAACATACCAGCAAAAGTTTGAGCATACTCTCTGGCCTTCTCCAGGATCATGGCTAGCAGCTCCTCGGGACTGTAGATAAGATCCCTGCAAAAGATAATCAAACAGATCAATGGACTTCATACCTCCAGTACATTAGACATTAAAAAAATGACTTAGGGGCCTCCATTAAAGTCAGAGCACATCTGTGCCCGAGTGGCGAGAAACCAACAGTCTGCATACAAATAAATAAAGCAAGATTTGAAAAACAGATGTGTATGCACAGCTCAAGTTCTGGAACAAGACTAAAAGTCCAGAAGTAGGCGAACAGCCAGAACTGTCCGCTGGTGTTTACAGCCAATGAAGTTGAAAACGACTTGGAGACTAGCTATAGTAAATCTGCTAGTCAACTAGAAAGAAGTGTAGAAAGTCCCTCTTATAAGAACAGAACAACAAAAGCACAGTAAATGTTGAGATTTTACCAGCAGTTTAGTCGGACGACTTCTCCGTGTGGGTTCCGGGGCCCTATTATAGGGAGAAAAAAGAACAGACCCACTGCCTACCCAAAAGCATGTCATAATTGTCATCTAATTGGGAGCTTCCTTCGAAGTTGGAGTGCACCTGCCTGAGAGGCAAGGAACCAGCCGTCTGCATACAATTGAGTCAGATCTATCAAATGGATGCACATGCAACACTCAGGTTCTGAAACGGGACTGCAGTCCAAAAGTGGATGAACAATCAGAACTTTCCGCCAGATTTTACAGCTGGCGAACACAAAGAAGAAGAAGAAGAAGTTGGGCGACTATTCAAGTACTTTTGGATTTCATTTCACTTTTTTCACAATTGATTGTACCTGCTCACAGAGTACTATTATTTATGGCAGACTGGCATAATAATGTGGGGGTAACAGCAAGAGAGAGAGAGAATTCACTAAAATATTTTGGAATAACTTGTTATTGAAGCCAGTCTTTCAGGTATCATGCTCCTCATGTGGGTTGTGGGAACCCCGTTTTTCGTGGTTGAAAAAAAGAATAGACCTACTGCAACCAAACAAGCATGTCATAGAAGAAACTAATCAGGGTGTTTCCTTCAAAGTGGGAGTGCACTAGCTTGAGAGGCCTGATGTTGTTATCTTACAATGACAATAACTGAAATAATGCTGGTAATCTACTCACTGAGTCTAAAGTATGTGCTCTCAGGAGTAAATATGTATACATTAGCACCATTTACAACAAAAAGTTGTAAAGTAGTTTTGCTTACTCATCAATCTTAAAGAGAACCGTGCCCCTCTCCTCATCCTTCAGCAGATTGTAATGTGGGAACCTCTTTCTGTACAGCTGAACCTG